GTGGACTGGGCCCTCCTACATCAGTTGAGGTTTCCTCTTCCAGATAGAGGTTTGTGTCAAGTTGACAGAAACGGTGAAAACTGGTTAAATACATGTGTCTGCTTTGTTGCTGCTGCTTGTGCTTTAAGTGTAGCATCTAAGAAACCTCTGCTTAGTCCACAGTTACAGAGATTTATATCTATGGCTTTAAATTGTTGCCTATGATTTGAGGTTGGATTTGGTATATTTTGTAATAGGAAAAATGACAGGAGCTGGGGATGGTGATGCACAAATGTAATCCCAGAACTTGGGAGGCTGAGGCAGGAGAATTTCAAATTTAAGGTCAGTTTGTTACATGGTGAGACTATCTCAGAAAGAAGCAAAGAAAAAAAAGAGAAAAAGAAAATGAATTTTCTGTTTGAGAACTGTACAGCTTATCATGTGTTGTGAAGATATTTAAACTATGTTTAGGAATTTTCAGGAAAATTGTGATAGGAATAGTTACCATTATTACTATAGAGTGATAATAGTATTTCCAGCTGGGTTTCCCTGATTCAGTGGCCTGTGGGCACTCAAGTATTGTAACTACTTTAAAACTGCTTTCAGTTAAGATAAGGATCCTCACTATTTGGGCATATTATCCTATTCATTAGGAAATTGGAGACTTAATCTGAAGATTATTATTAGATCAGCCAAAATCCTAAATGTTCATCATTGAAGAAGGATGTAATGAGGGGGCTCTGACTGGCAAGATTTTTCTCCTCAGTGACAAACAACTAGCCTTCCATGTGCACACTGCTTGGGAGATTGACCCTAGGAATGCAGCCTCAGCACACCTGTAAAGCACACCTGTGTCTTAGTCGTAAAGCACACCTGTGTCTTAGTCAAAAGCCCTGATGAATCTAGATGAAGCATTCCTAAGCTAAAGACTGCCACAATAATGTAGGGCTCTGTTGACTTTTATAGTGAATTTGTTATTAATGAGATTAATGCTTCTGAAAGAAAACATTTTAATAATATGCCTAGTAATAAATTAATTTATATACTTTTTCAGATTGAGATATAATTCGTACACCCTATACTTTTAAAATGTAAAGTTTACGGGGGTTTGATGCATTCACAAAGTTATTCAACTATCACTACTCTCTAATTCAAAATGTATTTCCATCATCCCAAGTTTTAAAAATCTATACTGATTAGCCGTTATCTCCACCCCTCCCCCCAGCCCTAGGCAACCAGTTCTTTCTCTGTGGATTTGCCTGTTCTGGACATTTTATTTAAACATGATGAAACCAGTCTTGGTTTGTTTGTCCATGTTGTGGTGTGTGTCAGTATGCTGTCCTTTATCACCAAGCAATATTCATTATTGCGTGAATTCTGGTGTGTGAAACACCACACTTTATCCATTTTCTTGAGCACACTTTGGAGTAGACTAGCAGGTTATGTGACAAGCATACTGAGGAATGGCCAGGCTGTTTTCTAAAATGGCTGTGTCATTCTATCTAGATTCCTACCAGGGTTTCAGTCTGCCCGTCCCAGTGGGCATGAAATTATCTCAGTGTGATTTCTGTAATAACTAATGATAATAGGGGATCTATTACTGTGCTTATTGGCTATTTGTATTTCTTGATTTCAATCTCTCTCCCGTTTCTCTCTCTCTCTCTCTCTCTCTCTCTCTCTCTCTCTCTCTCTCACACACACACACACACACACACACAGTGTGTGTGTGTGTGTGTGTGTGTGTGTGTGTGTGTGTGTGTGTTGCGTGCTGGAGGTTGAACCCTGTGGCCTTGAATGTGCTAGGCATGTGATCTCCCACTAAGCTATATTTTGTTAGGTTGGCTCTTTATATGCCATGTGTGAGTCAGATACATGGTTTGCAAGAATTTCTCCTGTTTGTGTGGGTTATCTTTTCATTTTCTTGCCACTGTCTTTTGGAACATAAAGTTTTAATTCAGGGGCTCAGTAATATGGCTCAGTCATTAAAGTGCTTGCTTACTTTGAGTTTGATTCCCAGAACCCCCTTTTTTTTTTTTTAAGCTGAGTATGGTGGCACGCAGTTTAAATTTCATGCTGGGGACAGGCAGAGCCCTGGGACTGACTGGGCAGCCAGTCTAAAAACCATCACTTAATCCAAGTTCACAAAGAGTTACACCTGTTTTTCTTCCAAGAGTTTTATTGTTTTAACTCTTATATTTCGATCTTTGATCCTTTTTTAGTTACTTTTGTATAGTGTCCAGTTGTCTATTCCCCATTTGGTGAAGAGATTATTCTTTTGCTTGTTTGTAACCAAATTTGGCCCCTTGGTGAGAGTGGTCAGAGGATAAACACAACCAGAAGGTTAGACTGGAAGAAATGTTACTACATGCCACAAGTGAGGGGAGCCCTAGGTGATTCTAAGAGCATTGCTCCCTGAGCCTAGATAGGGAGAGCTTTTATTAGGGAAAGGTGCACATGCTGGCATAGGGAATACTGCTTTCACTCCTGGAGGGAGCATACTCCTAAGCATGCTCAGTTGAGACACGTCTTTATACATTGCCTACTTTAAAAATAGCAGAAAGGATTGCATCCTACAGAGATTTTAGTATTTAAATGAGCAAAGTTTGCTCTAGGCTACCTAAAAAAAATTTAGGGTGGCTCAGAATACCTTGGGGAAATTTTAGCTACATCCTTGCATTTTTCTCTGGAGGGCCTTTTAAAAGAACTTAAAAAAAATTATGTGTGTGTTACAACATACCTATGAAGTTCAGAGAATAACTTGGGAGGAGTCAGTTCTCTCCTTCCCATGTGGGTCCTGGGAATTAAACTCAAATTGTCAGGCTTAGCAGCAAGTGCCTGTACCCGTTGAGCCTTTTTGAAACAAAATTTCTTCGAAGGCACTTTGTCATTTAAAGGGCCAAATTTCCCCTTCCCTGAGCATAGTTGATTGTCCCCAGAAGTACTTGCTTGGTGGCCAACACATTGAGTTTTCTTAGCATCTTATCAAAACTTTATTCAGATAAATGAGTTTATTTCTGGATTCTCTGTTTTATTCCATTGATTTATGCATCTCTCTTTTGGTGTTTTTGAGACAGGGTCTCCCTGTAGCCCCAGCTGGCCTGTAACTCACTATGTAGACCAGGCTGGCCTTGAACTCACAGAGATCTGCCTGCCTCCGCCCCCCGAGTGCTGGGACTAAAGGTGCGCGCCACCGTTCCCCGCATGCTTCTGTCTTTGTAATAATCACTGCTGTACTTTTTTTTTTGAGTTTTAAATTGATGGCCTGTAGTTTTATATATTTTGGGGGCACATACTATAAGTTTTGAGTACCATGTAGAATAAATTATTCAATCTAGTTAACATCATTCACTTCAAATATTTTTGTGAAGACATCTGAAATTGACTCTCAGGAGTTTTGAAATATGTAATATACTCTTATTAACCTTATTCACCATCCTGTGTAATAGAGCTCAAACAAAATTTAAAAACGGCATGAAATTTCATAACCCTTGACATCATCCTGTAACGGATTTTATTGTGGAGTCTGTAAGATTTTCGGCATATAAAATATTTTAATCTGCATATGGAAATAATTTCACTTATTCCATTCTAAGCATGATACTTGCCTACTTCCTTCTTCCCCTTTCTTTCTTCCTTTCTCTCTCATTCCTTCTCCCTACCCTTCCTCCAATTCTCCTCCACCTAACTTCCCTGCTAGCAGCTCCAGTACAACCTTGTATACAAGTGGTGAAAATAAGTGCCTGGTCTTGTTCCTCATCCTAAGGAGAGTTTTCATCCTCTGTCCTTTATCAAGTTGAGAACTTCCCTCATAAAAAGGTGTTGGATTTCGTCAGATACTTTTTCTCTATCAATTGAAATGATCACTTTTGTCTCTTATTCTTTTAATATATATTGACCTGTTTGATATTCATATGAACCAGCCTTGCGTTCCTGGGATAAACTCCACTTAGACATTCCTTTGTACGCTGCTGGATTCGGCTTGCTTTCGTTTGTTGAGGTTTGGGTTTTTATTTGTTTTCTGTTTCATTTTGTTTTTTCCATCTGTTTTTGTAAGAATTCTCCTTATATCTTCAGTTTTGGTGTTGAGTAAATATTTTCCTCACAAAATAAATTGGGAAATATTCTTTGGGGTTTTTTGGTTTTGGAACTTTGTAGGGTATTAGTTCATGATATGCTTTTAATCAAGAAAAATAATGTCTTCTTACTTCAGGTACCCAGGTGACCACTCAGCACCTTGAGCCTTGCCTTTGGTAGGTATTGACTAAATTCCAGACCCTTGTGTTCCTGGTGAGCTTTCCCCATCTCCATTCCACTCGGGTCTGGGAGGTGGTCAGGATCCTTTCATAAGTGCTGCTCTCAGTAATTTTCAGTGTCATGCTGGCTGTTAACCATCCCCTACAGTATTGTAAAGGCCTTTCCATCAAGTCAGAGTAAAAAATCCAAACAGCATCTCTTTAAAAAGTTACTCTGGTAGTTTAAGGTTGTGCAAAGCAGAACTGAAAATTCCTTTGGGTTATCCTTGTGTTTACAACATAAGAAGCAGCCATCTTCGGATGGTATTTTCTTCAGACCACTATAACCACTCTGCTTCCTTTGTTGTCCTAGCTTGATACCTCAGAATTGTGTAAGTTTGTCATTCAAGGCCACAGCAAGAGCTAGAGTCATGATGTTGCATCATGGTGACACACGCCTGCAATTTCAGTACTTGGGAGGTGAGAGCAGAATGATCAGGAGTTCATGGTCAGTCTGGGCTACATGAGACCCCATCTTTTAAAAAGAGAAAAAAAACAGGCCAGATGCAGTGGCACACGCCTTTAATCCCAGCACTGGGGAGACAGAGGCAGGTGGATCTCTGTGAGTTCAAGGCCAGCCTGGTCTACAAATTGAGTTCTGTGCCAGCTGGGGCTACAGGGAGACCCTGTCTCAAAAAGACCAAAAAACCAACGAAACAAACAAACAAAAAAACATAGTTCTCAGGGCATCACTGGGCACCTTCCTGAACCCTATGTTCTCACCTACAGGTACCACGTACACAGACTTCTCGGCCGGAATCTCCAGGGATGACCAGCCCCTCCCCGCGCATCCAGATAATCTCCACCGACTCTGCGGTAGCCTCGCCACAGCGCATTCAGGTACCTGTGCCAGTCCCATTGGGTTCCTGCCTTCTTTCACTCTGTAGAATGACAAACCTGCATAAGGGTTTCACTAAAGGAGTATATGCCTCTTGGCATCCAGTATAGTATGACCTTATTTATTGAGAAAGCAGCAGGTAAAAGTTTGCATTCATTTTGTTACTTTTAAAACACTGACCAAAAGCAAGTTGGGTAGGAAAGGGTTTATAACATCTTAATACCTCACAGTCCATTATGGAGGGAAGGCAGGACAGAGGTTCAAAGCAGGAACCTGGAGGCAAGAACTGAAGAGACCAGGAGGAACACTGCTGTCTGGCTTGTTTCTCCTGGCTTGCTCAGTTACTTTTTTTGTACAGACTGGGGCCATCCTACATTAATTTGCAGTCAAGAAAATGTCCCATAGATATGCCACAGGTCAGTTTGATGGAGACAGTTCCTCCTTTGAAGTTTCCTCTTTCCAGATGTCTCTGGTTTGTGTCAAGTTGACAAAATAATCAGCACAAGTTGTTTTTCATGCGTTGTTTTTTCTGGGATCTATTCAAGTTCATTTATGATGATGGTAGTTGAGGTTCAATCTGCACAAAACCACCATACCTAATCATGCAGGCTAACAGAGGTGACCAGAAGCAGTGCTGGTCCTCCTTGTGTTGTGGCCCTCATGGTGCAAAGCTTTTATGGAGCAGAAGGAACAACACAGTCCTCAGTGGAGGAAGGCAGACTCTAGGCTGGGGCTGAGAGCTGTTTGGAGCTATGTAGGACAGAAACTATGGAGACAATGGAGGCACAGGAAGCATTAGCTTACAACTAAGGTGGGGTAAAAAGGAAACGGTCCCATACTGTTCCATGCTGGGGACCGTGGCACACTCACTTTCCTGCCAAATCATTCTGTTTGGGGTAGCCTGGCTGACAGTTTCTTTTATTCTGTGTGTTTTGAGGTTCTCCTGAGATGGTCCTTTATCCCCCCTTTCCAGTTTACACTCTTCAGCAAAGCATGGTTGTATTCATTGTTCAACTTCACTGAAGTAAACATTTGTTTCTAAAACACATTTATATAATATTTCTGTTATCTATTTTACATATTCAGATTCACATAAAATCTTTTTTTTAATGGACTTATATAGTTACATATTTTTTGAAATTTGAAATCTTCTTCACAGTCCCCAGGAGAAAGCCTCTGGGGCTCTCCCAGCCTCTCCCATCCCTGTTTCCGCTTGCCAGCAGTATTGTATTCTGTGCATTCTTTTCCACCACCTTCTGCTGTTCTCTGTCTCACCCTGATATGCCAGTGCCTCCCCTCAGGTACTTAGAAGAGTTGCTTGTCTGTAAGAGTTGAATGGGTGATACGTGCATGCTGTACTGGAATCCCAGCAAAGCAGAGTACCTACTCATAGGTAGGCACTATCACTGTATTTCTTTTCATTTTTTTCTTTTCCTTTCCTTTCCTGTTCTTTTACTGAGACAGTGTCTTATAGTCAAGACTGGCCTCAAACTCACTATGTGGCTGAGGATACTTTTACCCTTCTCGTTGTCCTGCCTCCTCTTGAGTGATGTGATTACAGGTATGTGCTACCACGCCCAGTTTTTGTGGAGCTAGGAATCAAAACCAGAGCCTTGAACAAGGTAGGCAAGCACTCTACCAGCTGAGCCACATTTCCAGCTTATGTTTTTTTAAGGATTTTATTTAATTTTAATTTTTAATTATATTTTGAGTCAAGGTCTCTGACTAAATCTGAAACTTGGCATTCACTAGCCTAACTGGCCAGTGAGCCCAGTACATTCTGTTACCCAAAACAAGGGTACTTAATGAGACCTTCCCTTCAAAAATAGCACTTGTTTAAAGCAGATTTGTGAAGTTATACTTACCTACTTTTTTGAATATGCCAAGATAGATTCTTTTATTTTTTTTCTTTTAGTTAAGCCTGTCATCTGTTATTTATTATTGGCCTTCATAAAGGAAAGGGGATTTCAGTTCTAAAAATAGCAAAGATACAGCCCTGGAATAAAACTAGTTTTAGGAAGAATCATTTCTGAAAAGCTATTGTGTATTGTCCCACTTCACCATGGACTGGTATGTTAGCTGCTTTTCTGATTGTTGTGACAAAATACTGGACAAAGGCAATTTAAAGGAAGGGTTCATCTTGGCTCATAGATTGAGGGTACAGTCCATCGTGGCAGAGGTCATGGCAGCTGGAGCGTGAGGTGGCTGGTCACACTGTATCCACAGTTGGGAAGCAGGTTAAATGCTAGTGTTCAGCTCGTTTTCTCCTTTTTTCATTTGGTCCAGGATCCCTGCCCCTGGAATGGTACCACTCACATTCAGGGTGGGTTTCCTTCTATAGTCAAACCTTTTTAGAAAGATGTTCCCTCTTACCCCCATAGACACACCTAGAGGTATGTTTCCATAGTGATTCTAAATCCAGTCAAGTTGACAATGAAAATTAACCATCACAGCTGGTGAGATATTTTAGACTAGCACTGACTCAAGTGGTCACCTTTTAGGCACTCTATAAAAGGACCCCCCATGTTGTATCTTCTAGATTGTGACAGACCAGCAGACAGGACAGAAGATCCAGATAGTCACCGCAGTGGACGCCTCCGGATCCTCCAAACAGCAGTTCATCCTGACCAGCCCAGATGGAGCTGGAACTGGGAAGGTGATCCTGGCTTCCCCAGAGACATCCAGTGCCAAGCAGCTCATATTCACCACCTCAGACAACCTTGTCCCTGGTAGAATCCAGGTAAGGCCTGCTGACAGGTGCTTGTTTCAGCACTTGATACTGAATTTCTTAGCTTGTTTTTAGTCCTACCAAATCCGTCTCTCTAGAAGGGCCCTTGGGAACTTGCAAGCATAGTAGGTTTGCTCCCTTAGCTAAAGTAAAAGCCAGTAAATGAGTGGCCAAACCCAGAAGACAGCAGGGATAGAAGCTAAGCCAAGAAAAGGCAGTGGCCCACAGGAGACTGTCATCAGCAAGATGACAGTGAGCCATGGAGAATCGTTCTTACAATGCCACATGGTGAAAGCCATTGGCCCATGGTATTTTAAAGGTACTCTCTAGAGCTGAGCATAGTCGGACAAGAGCTCCCAGAGCTGAGCATAGTCGGACAAGAGCTCCCAGCTCTTCCATCTGTCTCAGCTACATGGCCAAACCTGGGCTCAGCTCTTCATTCTAATCTTACATTCCATGAGCTGCTGACCCTACTCAGCAGTTCCTATCTCTGTCTCTGCCCTGCTTCTCTGTTCTGGGAGGGAGAAGCAGGGTGTTGGAGCACCGATAGAAAGAGCAGGCGCCCAAGGGAAAAGCAGGATCAGTGCTCAGCATGAGGTTGGCAAGCAAGCTGCTAAAGAACAGGCTCAAGACTACATCCCAGAGTGGTGACATGTGGAGCAAGTCCAGTTGGGGTCAAGATGGGAATTGTGTAATTTGGGTTTTATTGTAAAATTTGTGGTGAGTTATGCATAATATAAAATTTAGGGGGCTGGAGAGATGGCTCAGCAGTTAAGAACACTGGCTGTTCTTGCAGAAGACCTGGGCTCAAATCCCAGCACCCACATGGCAGCTAACAACTGTCTGTAACTCCGGTCCCAAGGGAGCCGACAGCCTCTTCTGTCCTCTGCAGGCATTGCACGACACAGGTACACTTACCTACATGCAGGCAGTATACACATACACATAAAAATAATAAATTAAAAAAAAAAAAATATATATATAAAAATAAATTTACTATGGTAACCATTGTTGTACCGTCTCTGTAACTCTTTAACTTCCTGACCTGAAACTATACCCATTGAGAATCACACACACATGTTCTACAGTGAAGAAGCATGAGAAGTTAATGTCCTGTACCCATTCAACAGTAGCTTCCCAGCCCTTCCCTCAAGACCCTAGCAATTCCCTCCTTCCCTCCCTCCTCCTTCCTGTATGAATTTGATGACTAGGTATCTACCTCATAGAAGTGGAATCTTATGGCGTCTGTCTTTGTCTTTTTTTTTTTTTTTCAGAGCTGGGGACCGAACCCAGGGCCTTGCGCTTGTTAGGCAAGCGCTCTACCACTGAGCTAAATCCCCAACCCCAGCATCTGTCTTTTATGACTGGTTTATCTAACTTTGTATAATATATCTTCAAAGTTCATGTTAAAACAAGTGTCAGGTTTTTTTTCCTTTTTAAAGAGTGAATAATATTCCATTTATGAATACATTACATTTTTGTTGTTGTTTGAGGCAGAGTCTTAGTATATGGCCCAGGCTAGCCTCAAATTTGTAATCCTCATGTCTCACCCCAAAAATATAAGCACACATTCCCCCCACCTCTGTCTTTCATTCTCTGTGTGTATGGGGCAACCTGTATTCATGTGTGTGGAGAACAGAGGTTGATACTGGTTGTCTTCCTCTACCATTTTCCACTAAAATTTTTTAAATTATTTTATTTATTATGTCTATACACCTGAATGCCAGTGCCCACGGAGGCCAGAGGCATTGAATCCCCCTGGAGCTAGAGTTACAGGCTGTTGTGATCTGCCAAGATGTGGGTGCTAGGACCCCAACTCTGGTCCTCTGCAAGAGTAGTACATATTCTGAGCCATCCTTTTAGCCTCTTTGTGTATTTAATTTTTTAACTGATCTTTTGTATTTATGACAATTTTCTTTTGTCTTTTTTTTTTTCACTTATTTATTTTATGTATGGAGTATATGTAGAAATCGGGACAACTTGTGGGCGTCAGCTCTCTCCTTTCACCATGTGAATCCAGGAAGCAAGCTCAGCTTGTCCTCCTTGGCAACAGGCACCCCTACCCATTGAGCCATCTTACTGGCCCTCTGCCATATTTTTTGAGATGGTCTCTCACTGAACTAGAACGCATCAGTTTGGCAAGGCCAGCCAGCCAGCAAACCCCTAGGGATCCAAACTCGGGTCCGTGTGCTTGTTGCTCACTTCGCTGACTAAGCCATGCCCTCATTTGGTTTTTATCCTTTCATCTAGTGGCAGATACTGGATTGTGTCTACTGTTTTCCCATTAACAGCTATGAATAGATATGTTTTGGGGGGTGCTTTCTGCTATAGAAAAACCTAACAAAGCATTTTTTTTTCCTGGTGAGCTAGATTTGGGCTATCAATGTGTTCAGCTTTCAGAAATGTCCTCTGAGACACTTTGCTGCACTTAGCAAGCATTTCCTCGCCCTTCGTCTCCCACAGTGTGTTCTGACATTTAAAGTTAGGCCGTCCCACTTGTTGAGCACAAGTTTGTGCAAGACTGACTGCTGATGTTGTCACATTTCACAGGTGATTTTACCTGATTTCTGGATATGATCCTACCACGAGTGATTCATTTGAAGGCTTGTGTGCTCAAATTAACTATATTTTAAAAATAACTATTCGGCTGGCGAGATAACTCACTGGTTAAGAGCAGTGGCTGCTCTTGCAGAAGACCCAGGTTGGAATCCAAGCACCCACATGGTGGCAACAGCCATCTGTAATTCCGGTTCTAGGGGATCCAATGCCCTCTTCTGGCCTCCTCAAGCACTACATAACACAGGTGCATATATATATGCAGGCATAACACACATAAAATAAAAAATATTTTTTTTTAGAAAATAACTTTCAATGATGTATTCTCCCAGATGGATATTGCACTATTTGTCATCTAGAGAATCACCTGCAAGTGAGAGGAAATAGCAGGCTTCAAGGTCTTACAGTCTTTCCACCATGCAGTGCCTCAAGAAACCTAGTTAGGAAAGGCTGGCCCTGTCTCTGACAGAGATGCCTGTTTGCCTACTCCAAGCTGTTTCATGAGATGTGAAGGGAAGCTGGAAGAAGCCTTCCTGTCTTCACCATAGAGCATCTCTGTGAAACCCCCATGTGGCCTCCAGTCTTGGTGATGATCACCAGATACAGTGGGCACTGCAGTATACAGGCAAGTAGGGAAGCAGAGTTATTTGGCTGCCAAATGGAGCTCTCTGCCAGAATAATCCTAGTTCTACCCAAACAGAAGTTTTAGTGTTTTTCTGAGAAACTCAGGACTGGGAATTTAGTTAGACATTACTTTGCTTGGTGAACTGGTTTTTATTTGGCAGTGTTTGTTGATTTCTCTTAGATCGTCACGGATTCTGCTTCTGTGGAGCGTTTGCTGGGGAAGGCAGACGTCCAGCGGCCCCAGGTGGTGGAGTACTGTGTGGTCTGTGGTGACAAAGCCTCTGGTATGTGACCCCAACCTCTGGTGCATGCCATGGACCAATGGCATGACCTGTTGTGAGGTGGGGAAGTGGTTAGTTGAGAAAGCACATTATCCATAGGTTTGTAGGTTTCAAACACAAATGCCACATAATAAGCAGAGTAGTTTGTCAGATTACTGAAACTGACAGGAAAGGTCAAGAAACTCTGTGATTTCTAAGTATTTATGTGCCATTAAGAAAGTAATAATTTCTGGCTGGAGAGATGGCTCAGTGGTTACAAACACTGGTTATTCTTGCAGAAGACCCAGGTTCAAATCCCAGCACCCACATGGCAGCTAACAACTGTCCATAACTCCAGTTCCAGGGGATCCGACAGCCTCTTCTGTCCTCCGCGGGCATTGAACAACATGGGTGCACTTACCTACATGCAGGCAATACACGTATGCACATAAAATAAAAATAATAAAATAGTTTTACAAAAAGAAAGTAATAATTTCTTAATCTTGTCCATATCTGCCAAGGTATGTTACTTCTATAATTCTCCTCATCCAAACTCTATCATCCTTTTACTACATCCAATGTGATAACCTTCTACAATGGAGGAGTAGGAGCCATGTGATTTTTGTCCATCCATCCCCCTCACTAGGAGGTTTCCCTTAGGGAGCTTTGGTAGGGGTGGGGGTGGGGTTTAGTGAAAATGAGCAGTCCAACTAGGAGAACCAGGGCCTGAGGAGTATAATTTAAGTCTGTGCCCCTCGTGTCCTTAAGGGAGAGCTCAAGGGCTTCTGCATTTAGGGCCCTGGTGAAGGGAGACAGAAGGCCTGCTAGTACTGAGAAGCCATAGAGGAGAATGGAGAAGTGCAGTGATGCTGGGGCACAGACCTGAGTTTTGAGACAGCTTGATTCCACTTGATTCTGTGGTATCAAAACTCACAAGAACTTCAGACGTTTTATTGTCCTAGAATTTATTTGTTTACAAAGGAGGTTGGACCAAACCTTGGAAAGAAACCACAGGCAAGCATCTCTCAGACGCTCCAGTTTCCCCTCCAAGCTGGTGACACCATTTCTCTGCCAGTAGTACCTACTCCTGTTCCTACCCTTTGTCTTGGTAAAGCCAGCCCACCCTAGTCCTTAAGTCTCAGCCCTCTCCTACTCAGGAGGCAGGTAGACAGTGTTGCTGCTGTTCCTGATTACCTTTCTACAGACCACTCTAGGCACCTGTTGCATTCTCTTATGATTGCTTCTCTGTAGCCTATCTCTCCATTGGAATGTTTAAGGAAAACCTGTGTCCTGCACAGCAGACCTGTGTCCATCTAACTGCTCAACAAGGAGAAATATTCTGCAAACATCAGAATAGAGAATGAAGCAGAGACAAGAAAAGGCCACAGACTGCCTGGCTTCCCTGTTCATCAGAGGTCTGAGCTAAAGGCCTATAGTACCATTCTCTCCAGAAGTCACTCAAGGTAGAAAGCTCAAGGAGACATTGCAAGGAAGAGAAAGGCAGTGCTGACAGAAGTCATTTCAGCACAACCATGCTTCAAAGAAAAATACTGAGATCCTCCAGGTTTTCTTGGGGAAATGATCCTACATACTAAAGCCTAGGACCATAGGTCCCCTGTAGTTAGTATGAATGGTGATGCTGTGAAGTGTCCTAGCAAAGCAGCTATGGACTTGGGCTCTTTGGCAAGAGAAGCCCGGAGAGCTGTGCAGAGTCAGAGCTGCAAGCTTGCTTGTTAACATGTGACAACATTTTGTCAGTTAGGTAGAAAGGTAACCTGAGATGGAAGGAGACTTTTTCCTGCACTGGTTAGAGACACTGAGTAAGTGAGAATAGGAAAGTAAGTTCTATTTCATAAATGTTTTCCTAGAAAGATCTGGATAGCTAACTCAGGTGAACCAGAGGGAACTTACCTTCACTGTGGGCCAACCAGTTACCATTCCATTTTCCCCAGGGGAAGCATAGCAACCAGGAGGTGACCCAGAAAGCAGACATGAATGCAGGATTAGCAATATACTGTTTAGTCCTAGAGTAAGAATGGGCTCTGGGCAGCCTCAGCCAAGGGTTGTACACTGGACAGTCTTGTGCAGTATTGTCCAAGCTCCTCTGTATGTTAGGATTTCTGGGTACAGAGAGAAGTTAGGCCATTGGACAGCTGTCACACAATGTGTGCGCTCTGGCTTTCCATCATGATTTTATAAGGTTACTGTAGAGATAGGAGAAATAATTGGGTGGATGTGGCTATGCATAATGGTCATGCTGTCATTAACCTCTAAGGCATATATCTGACAGAGTGTGAAAGAGAACAGGGCTTGGGCCACTCACATCTACTCATGGTCAACCAGGTCATGTATTCACTTACCTCCCTTCAGGCCGTCACTATGGAGCTGTCAGTTGTGAAGGTTGCAAAGGTTTTTTTAAAAGGAGTGTAAGGAAGAATCTGACCTACAGCTGCCGAAGCAACCAGGATTGCATCATTAACAAGCATCACCGCAACCGCTGCCAGTTCTGCCGGCTAAAGAAGTGCCTGGAGATGGGCATGAAGATGGAATGTGAGTAGCAGGGTCCCAGCCACAGGAGCTGACAGGAGAATGAGAAAGAGCCTACTAAATAAGGGGTTCGCGTTTGGCTTAAAGTAGTAAAGAGGGGAAATACCCACACAGGCTTCATTGGGCTTTACATTCTTGGTCACCAGGTGATCCAGAGCTGACACAGTGTCCATGGTGTGTGAAAGCCCCTTTCCAGAGGAGTCAGGAAGCAGAGCGGGAAGAAGGGGGTAATGTGGGCTACAGAGTACAGCTGAGACCAAGTCAGTCCAGCTCTAGGAAATGGAGCCTTTTTCCACCCTGATCCTCATCTGTGACCAGCAGTCTTCCCTCCCTTGCTACAGCTTTCAAATTCCTTTCAGCTCCTGTAGTCAGACCTTATTCCCAAACCAGGCCTTCATTCAGTAGGACCAGTCATAAGACAAGTTTCCAAAGTCAGTAACACAGAGAAGCCCAGGGAGAACAGTATTGGACTCACATTACAGCAGAGGAATAGAGAGGCACAGAGTCAAGGCCCACACTCCACCTGGCCAGGCCGACAGTGCTGAATGGTTCCAAGGAAGACTGGAAACCGACGAGTTTCAGTGTTGGTGTTTTCCTTTCTAGGAATGAGAAAATGAAAACTTCACTGGGGAACAAGTAGAAGTGTGTTCTTGGTTCATGCTTTGTGTGATGTTTATTTTACCTAGTGATAATGCTTTTCCACCAAAGTAAATACATATATACATTACTGTGTGACTGCCCTGTTCTGTTGCCAGGCTGTCCTCTTGGTTGTGAGCAGTGATGGAACTGAACTTTTATAGTCACAGGTATAAGCAAACTCAAGGTCCAGCTTCATTTCACTTTGGTCACAGGATACCTGGATCCAACACTTCATCTCCTCTTTCTTTAAAAACACTTTATGGGCTGGGAAAATGGCCTGGTGGGTAAAGTGCCTGCTGCACTATGAGAACCTGAGTTTAGATCCCTGGCACCCATGTAAAAGCTGGGTGTGGTTACTGGTGTCCGTCGCCCTAAGCACTAGGGGTGGAGACAGGCAGATCTGGGTGATTGATGAGCTCCAGGTTCAGTGAGAGGTTGTCTCAAAACCTAGAGGTAAAGAGCAGTAGTGGAAGACTCCCAACACTGACCTCTGGCCTCCACAGCTGCATGCACATACACTCCCAAAAATCTATTTTCTTCAGTTGTTTATGACATCTATACCTATTCTTTTTTTTTCTTTTTTTTTAAGATTTATTTTTATTTTTAATTATGTATTTGTGTGACTGTATATGGGTTTGTGCACCTAAGTTCAGTGCTCATGGAGGCCAAAAGCAGGCACTGGATCCCTTAGAGCTAGAGTTGTGAGCCAGCTGACGTGGGTGCTGGGAATTGGACTCCAGTCCTCTGAGGCATCTCTTCAGCTCAAAGATACCCCTTCTTACACTAGGTAGGGAGAATTTGCTATACACAGCCTTGAGTTCACTGAAGCTATTTGGGCTTGGATTGGGCTCTAGAATGGTTGCTCTGCCATTTTTGGCATTGGATAATGTCTATAAAGGGTCCACTTGATGAAGATGAGCATTTCTTATCTTGGGCAGAGTCCATCTTGTTAGCGACAAGAAGTGAAAACCCTTAGGTTTCACTAAGGTAGAACTCCTCAGGTCACACCCGAGTTAGAGTTTCTTAGCAGGTAGCACCTGCCATCTCAAGCCCAAAGGTAAACCTTTAGGTTTGACGTTGGCACTATTTGCCTTTGACTCTTGTCCTTTGGATGGAAAACCCACTGTGACTACTGAGCTAGGAATCAAGAACGAAGGTTTGTCATCCTGCATGTGGGTTATAGTTTTTATTCATTTGACTCTTTTCTCTAAATGTAAATATCATGCTGTGATTTAAGCTGTACAAAGTGAACGGAAGCCCTTTGATGTACAACGGGAGAAACCAAGCAATTGTGCTGCTTCGACTGAAAAAATCTACATCCGGAAGGACCTGAGAAGTCCTCTGATAGCCACTCCCACATTTGTGGCAGACAAGGATGGAACAAGGTCAGTCTCTTGTTCTCACAAAGGGCAGCCTTTGTGATTGGCCTTAAAAAGTCACCAGAGGAAGCATGGATGTCCCTGGAAAGGGCACACACATGATCCCGCCTGCCCACCACAGGCCTAGCATGCTTTATCCTGCTAGAGCTTGCTCACTGTTGAGCATAGCTCCAGGGTCATTTGGTCCTGCAGTGTAGACTTCATTCATACAGGGAAATAGCTATCTGTAACTCAAGATGCACGTTTTTTTTTTTACAGTAGAGACAAAAGGCCCAGATGATGCTACAAGCTTGCTTATACATTCCTTTTAACATACTCCATTGAACTTGTTTAAAAGAAAACAGAAGGAAATCTAGAAGACCAAAATTTGTTATACACAGAATTGGAGTTGAGGGTACCTTGGTAATGTTTTGAATTTCAGCTTAACTTTTAGGAGAATGGCCACAGTTAGCGTGGAAGGCCTAGGGGTGTGCATCTGTGTTCTGCCCTCCCTTGGTCTGTATCCTGGCTTTGTGCAGAGCTCACCAGCAAGAGTAAAGGGCGGGCCACTCACTCACCCTGAGGCTGAGTGCAGTTAGAGCTTTGCTCCTAGCACACAGCCTTACAGATATGGAAGGGACAGGTGAATGCAACATGACCATACTGTGCATAAAATGTTGGAAGCTACTCTGGGTTTCTTTATGTCTTAAATAGACAAACAGGTCTTCTTGATCCAGGGATGCTTGTGAACATCCAGCAGCCTTTGATACGTGAGGATGGTACAGTTCTCCTGGCCACGGATTCCAAGGTGATGTTCTCTCCTCCTGCTTCGTCTCCTCTTCTGTGTGGCAGTGCAGGCTTCTTTTCCACCTACGCTTGCCTTCTTGGCCTTCAGGGATGGATGGCTGACAGCAGGGCCTTCTACAGCTCAGTTTGCTTCTTGCTATGGTATAGCTATCCTAGGATTGTTCTAGGAACACTGGTAGCTTTTCAGAAATCTCAGTCAGGGCCAATTGGTCATAACCATTATAACATGGCAGCTTTGTGGAAATTATGTGGTTCCTTTTTTTTTTCGGTCATTTATACATATGCAGACCACCAGAATGCTGGGAAATAGCTACTTTTCCTAAGACGGCCTTTTGTAGAAGCCCCCTAGTTCCTTTTAAATATTCTGTAGTAAGCTGATAGATGAGCCATGAAGAACTCACTTGTGGACAGAGATGTCTGTCAAGCCAAGAGGTAACAAGCTATCTGACTCCTGTGACTACAGCCAAGGAGGAAGACTTTATCCTGGCCAAGGTGTTTGCTTTTGTTTGGGTTTGGGGGCTTGAGGATTTGGGTTGGTTGGTTGGTTTGGGGTTTTTTTTTTGTTTTTCTTTTGGTTGTTGTTTAGTTGATTTGGGTTTGGTCTCTTTTGGTGTCAGTGATTGGTTTTTGTTTTTGAGGCCTTAAACTCTGTCTTCCTACCTCAGCTCTCCAACTGCTGGGATTACAGGCTTCCCCACACTTCCTGAGCTTTATTTTTCCTCTTAAGGTACCTTCTCATTGTGAAGACCCACATCTTATAGCAGCTGCATAATACTCAGTCTGTGGTTCTGCTGTGACTTGTTAATCAGTTTTATGATAATTTCCTACTGATTCTAGTTTTTCACTTCCGTAATCAAGACACAGACATTTATGTATATATATGCATATATTTATGTCTTAGCTTATCTATTTCTCGCTTTCTTTTTATAAGCTGAAATATAATTCACATACCACATCACCCTTGGCAATGTATAATTTCATGGAATTCGTGTGTCTACATGATTTTGCAGTTTCACCACTGATCCCAGAATATTCATATCCCAAAAGAAACCCATCAAGCAGTTACTCTCCCAAACCATTCCAACCTGTGTTCTGGTTCTATGTTTTTAACAATTACTTATATTTCTCATGCAGGGAGTTATGTAAGTATGAATCCTTCATACCTGACTTCTTTCACTTAGCAAGTTATCATCAAGGTTCATCCTTGGCATAGCGTGTACTGGTAGTTCGTTCCTTTTCATTGCCAAAGAGCATGCCACCACCTGGCTGCCCCATATTGTGTGGATTCATTCATTCCTTGATAGATGTTTGGATTGTTTGAAGCGTAAAGTTTTTGGTCACATAACAACTTTTATGTTTAAACTTTGAGGATCTGCCAGGCTGTTTTAAGTGGCTATACCAGTTTGCAGTCTTACAGTACAGGTCAGCTCTTGAGTTCCATATCTTGGCAACACTTGTTACCATCTTTGAGTATAGCCATCCCACCATCCCAGATACATGAAGTATCTTTATTCCAGTGAGATTGAACATGGACTTAGTGGATATTTGTGCCTCTTCTTTCAGAATGTCTTGAGATCCTTATTCTTTTTTTTTTTTTTTTTTTTTTTTTTTGAGACAGGGTCTCTCTGTAGCCCCAACTGACCTGGAACTACAGAGCTCTACCTGCCTCTGCTTCCTGAGTGGTGGGATTAAAGGCATGCACCACCACACCCGGCTCCAGATCCTTTGTCCCTTCTAAAATTGGATTGTCTTTTTGTTGAGTTGTAAGAGGTTTTTACATAGTCTGGCTACTAAACCATTATCACACATGTGACTGCAGACATTTCCTACGGGTTGTGTTTTTATTATTTTGTTAACAATGTCTTTTGAAGCACACAGGTTATTTATGGTTGGAGAAGTCCACTTTATCTTTCTATCATTTTATCATTGTGTCATTTTATCACATATGGATCTGTATAACCATAACCAAGATACAAAGTGATCTGTTCTGATCCAGTGAATAGCCAAAAAGATCTTCCTGGTGTGATTCTTCATTCACACCTCCTAAACATTGGTTTTGAATCAACATTACACCTTCATTGCCCTTAAGTCATTTGCATGTGTGTGCTCATTTTAATACTTTTTTTTTTTTTTTTTTAATCTAATAGGCTGAAACAAGCCAGGGAGCTCTGGGCACACTGGCAAATGTAGTGACTTCCCTTGCCAACCTAAGTGAATCCTTGAACAATGGTGACACTTCAGAAATCCAGCCAGAGGACCAGTCTGCAAGTGAGATTACTCGGTATGAGTCCATGACTGTGGATGGAGGCTGCCCTCTAACGCCCCATACACTTCAGACCCTGTGTTGTAAGGGTGCATACCAGCATTTTGGCACCTATCTTATATGTGTGGTTTTTGTTTTGTTTCGTGGAACCGAAAATTGACCTTGTCCTCCTGTGTAGTAGACAAGGGCTCAGCCACTGAACTACAGTCCAGCCACCCCACCTGTGTCTAATTAAAGACTATAAATTTGTCAGAAGAACCCTGCACATTTGTCTTCCTGATATTAACTGTGGGCACATGGACCCACTTACATTATTTTTATTCCTAACAATGGAGAACCTTTTGGTGAACAAATGTTAATCGTATAGAGTACTTTGTAGTACACCTGCACAAAACAGCTCATTGCTTTTCTTGTTTGTGTTTTGCCTACTTTCAGAGTGGTAAGTGCTAGCTGATGGAGAGCTGGTCTCAGGCACGCTGGCTGGCTGCTCAAAGTGTTTTTCTTCCTGGCAGCTTGGCCTAGTGTTTTTCTCCTATTTCTGGCCTTGGTGTCTAGCCAGATAAGGGCATGCTGGGAGCCACACACATCCTCTGGTTGGTCCTCTTGTTAATTTGCAGTCTGACCATAATATTCAGATCTAGGACTAGGGGAAAGACAATGAGACTTGAACCATATAAAATAATTATCGTTCCTTGTGAGAGGCCTTGGAAAAGTTAACATCTGTAAGCCTCAGCATTCACATCTATAAAGTAGACATAATTTCCATTTTAGGAGGGTAGATGTGAAAAATAGAAGTTATATGAAGATTTAAAAGTACATAGCTAGCTGGTATAGTGGTACATGCCTTTAATCCCAATACTTGGGAGGCAGAGGCAGGTGGACCTCTGAGATTGAAGCCAGTCTGATCTACATAGCGAGTTCTAGGCCAGCTACAGGGAGGCTTCAGGGAGACCCTGTCTCAAAAAAACAACAAACAAAAAAGTACAAGGCTTAGTGCCTAAAACACTACATGTAATGCACAAAAGCGTCACTTTGCTCTTCTCTCAGCAAGTGGACCTGGATGACCTGCATCTGCACATTGCCTCTCTAACTGGCATCACTGAGAGCTCTCTTCTTTCACCTGCCACTGATGCTGGCTTTGTTTTTGCTTACAGGGCATTTGACACCTTAGCTAAGGCACTTAATACCACAGACAGCGCCTCACCTCCAAGCCTAGCAGATGGGATAGATGCCAGTGGAGGAGGGAGCATCCATGTCATCAGCAGAGACCAGTCAACACCCATCATTGAAGTTGAAGGCCCCCTCCTTTCAGACACACATGTCACATTTAAGGTGAGTGCATTTGGCCCAACATGAGCCACCTACTTCCCCAGCATGCTGGAGCCAGGCTCTATACCAGTGCTTGTTTTCTAATTGTGGCAGGATCTTGAATTCCAAAAGAGCATTCCCATTGTGAAGGATCTTCACTGATACCTTGCTCACAATGCCATTTGGTTCTGAAAGTAAGTGTGGTCCATCATTGCAAAGGTGCTTAGCCAGTGAGAGTCAGAGGCTGACTGCTTTGTCTTCCTGTGATAGCCTGGCCCCCATATAGTGGGCGCCTTGCCTCTTCTCTATGTAGAAATGCTTTTGAATAAACTGTTCAGCAAGCAGCCAACCACATTAACTATCTGCAGCCACCATCTGTGAGGAATGCTGTTAGGACCTAGTCTTCCCCACACTTCCCTTCCCTGCCTGCCCTCCCTATAGGGCATCAACAGGCCTTCTAGTCTCCAGAAGAGTCTTCTGTCCCACTGTTCTGTACTGGAGAGGTCTGGTCAGTCACTTGGATAGATAGGGTCCCTGCTCACAGTTACCCAAGGGTTCCCAGGATGCCAATAACCAAGGGAGTTCTAGCTTCAAAGGCACTGGAGTCCTTGTGGACATGAGAGTTCCTGGACCCCAAGCAGTCCCTTCTGCTAATGAGATGTTATCCTCCTGTGTGCTTTTTCCCAGCACCTTTTCATTACCATCTTGGAGCCACATATAATAGCACTGTCAACCTGTACAGTTGAGCCATGCCTCTGGTTCATTTTAGACTTTTGCCTATGGTTCAGAATGAACCAAAGACAACTAACAATTTAGCCAAAGCAGGAGGGGTCAGGGATGTCTTTGTGTATGGGTGAGCTGGGAAGTCTCAAGTCAGCCCTATTCCAAAGACTGTTCAACTAAAGTCACCAAGCAAGAAATCTGGAAACTAGTGGAAGCCTTGGCTACACATGTTCCACTAAGGACCAGCCCTTACCGGCCCTTAAAGGCTCTTTGAGATCTGTGACAGTGACTTTGGTGACCTCAATTGGTAAAACAAGACAGGAATATGTTAACAAAGATACGGACCCTTCATTTACCTCCTATGTCACATGCCTCCTCTTCTCCAGCTGACGATGCCCAGCCCAATGCCAGAGTACCTCAATGTCCATTACATCTGTGAGTCTGCATCCCGCCTGCTTTTCCTCTCCATGCACTGGGCAAGGTCAATCCCAGCCTTCCAGGCACTTGGGTAAGCGGACTATTTTCCTGTGTGTGTCATTGGGTCAGAGTCATGCTTCCCTCTAAGAATGGCCTGCAGGGTCTCTGAGGGCTTTTCTAGTGTGACTGTTCCTATGACCCCCTTCAATGACTCAAAATATGAGGAGACCATATCAGTCTACAGTGTATATGTGCCAAGAACTTGTTGCTAGGAGCTGTGCCTAGACCTTGACAGCTTATCTACATCGGCTCTGCTCTCAGCCAGAGCACTTGTGTCTACCTAGCCCCTCACCTCAGTGCTGACTGATATGTGAAGAGCAGTGGCCTATATCTCTGTAGGAAAGCTCCTTGCTTGCTTGCTCGTTGAGCGTCACTATGTATAGTGATCATTCCCCAGTCAGTCCCAACACCAATTCTGCCACTGTGCTAAATAACTGCTATCCAATTGGAGCAGGCTGCCATTGTGGTTATAATCTAGCTGGGAATGTAGTGAATGCACACTATAGGTTATGTGTGGGAAACACTCAGTGGCAGATCTGGGTTGAGAGTCATAAGAATAGTGCTTGCCAGCTGTGAGGCTGTGGGTAAGTCATTTCATTTGTCTGAGCTCTCTTTCCCCATAGAATCCTTACAAGGGGTTAAGACTGATAAAGCTCTTAACCCAGTACTCACTCAGAATGCAAGAGGAACTCTGTAGAAGCCTATGTGGTGCTGGTGGGTTGGGTGCTGTGGCATATGCCCTATGTGATAGTGACAGTAGTCACCACACTCAGGGATTAAAGGAGAGGTAGACAATATTAGCTTGTCATTCTTGGGAGAACTGGACAGGCAGTGACTACTGAATAAGCATTACAGGTTCTTTGTAAACTCTGGGTGACAGTGGCCTGTCCTTCCTGCCATCTGGGAGACTGTTATAATACCATGGTCATTAGTACTGCTAGATAATTAAGATGATTTGATGGGTTAAACAGTAATGTTTCCCACTTCTGTGAATGGTTTTGTTTCATTCTGAGCAATTTGGAACCTCCCCTAAAGGATTTCCTTGCCCAGGCTAGCACATTTAAAGGAGTTTTGATTATATTTCACATACTGTTCTTCAAAAGTTGGTAGAGTGCTGATCATAATAGAATCCAAGGCATACAGCTGAGGTGTGGGAGTGGTTCTAGACAGTAACCTGGTTCTCACTGCCATTCTGTACCTGGACTAAGGCAACTGGAGAATGGCTCTGTCAGGACTGCTCACCTTTTACAGCTTCCTGGCAGCTTGAGGAATAAGGACAATTGTTTTGCAGTGTGCCACTCACACTAACTTTCTTGTAGTGACTCCTCTACCTTTGTCTTCTGTCTTCTGTTTGCCAGGGTTAGCACAGTGTTTCTGCCCTTCAGATTCCATTCTTGTCCTGTGATCTGTGCAGCCTCTCATTTTTGTTAGAGACCCACAGTGACAGACAACCATCTCCCAAGACAGAACCAAGCTAGGACTGTTAAGGTTGAATAAACTTCAAAGGGCAAGTTGTAGCTATGGCTTAGTGACAGAGTTTGCCTAGATGCATGAGGACCTAGGTCCACAGGAGGAAAAAAAAACTTTGGTGGCAGTGCACGTGTATATGTGTGGAGGCCAGAAGACAACTTCAGGTGTCGTTTCTCAGATACTGTCCATCTTTTTGTTGTGTTTTTGTTTGTGACAGGGTCTCTCATGGGGATCTCATCTTGTCTCTATCTCCCCAGCGATTATAAGTATGCTTCCACCACTACCACTATGCGTGGCTTAATAAATTTTAAGGAAACAGTAATATAGCCATTCTCCCCCATTTTCCTTTTTAATCTTTTTGAGACGGGGTCTTGCTATAGCCCCAGCTGGCCTGGAACTCTATGTAGATCTGCCTCACAGAAAGTGCCTGCCTCTACCTCTGAATGCTGAGATTAAAGGTGTGTGTCACCACACCCAGCAGCCATCCCTATTTTTTATTTTATTTTATGTGTATGAGCATATATTGCCTGCATGTATTTAAATGCATCTATGTCCTCCAATACTCACAGAAGTCGGGAGAGGGCATTGGATCCCCTGGAACTAGAGTTACAGTTGTTAGCTGCTGTGTCAGGGTGCTGAGAACCAAACCTGGGACTCTGCAAGAGCATCAAGAGCATCCATCTTAACTGCTGAGCCATCTCTCCAACCCATCCCTTTTTTTTTTTTTTTTTTTTGTCTGAAGCAGTCTCATGTAATCCAGACTGGCCTCAAACTCACTATATAGCTGAGGATAATCTTGTACTTCTAAGCCAACTGCTTCTACAGCCCAAGTGCTGGGAGTACAAGTGTGTGCCCCTATGCCCCAGTTTTATTTGGGGTTTTTGTGTTTTATTACACAAGTATCCTACCAATTGGGCTACCTCTTTAACTCTGTATTAAAATGTCTTGCTGGGTGTGGTGGCACATGCCTTTAATCCCAGCACTTGGGAAGCAGAGGCAGGCAGATCTCTGTGAGTTCAAGGCTAGCCTGGTATACATAGTGAGTTCCAGGACAGCAGGGGCTACAGGGAGACCCTGTTTCAAAAAGACCAAAAAAAAAAAAAAAAAGTGTCTTATTGTGGGGCTTGGGGAGTGTTTTAGTCAATAAAGAGCCTTTGTATAAGTATAAAGACCTGAGTTTGGATCCTCAGAACCCATTTAAAAGCCAGGGCGCATATCTGTAATCCCAGCATGGTGGAGGGGGCATATGGAGGGCAGTAGAGACAAATGGATCCCTGGACTTCATTGACCTGCCAGTCTAGTCAAATCAGTCAGCTCCACGTTCAGTAAGAGAGCCTATCTCAAAAATAAGTTGGAGAGTGGGGTTGGAGAGATGGCTCAGCAGTTAAGAGCACTGGCTGCTCTTGCAGAGGACCTGGGTTCAGTTCCCAGTACCCACATGGTGGCTAACAACTATCCATAACTCCATTTCCAAGGGATCCTATGCCCTCTTCTGACCTCCATGGGCACTACACCACACGGGTGCACTTACACACATGCAGACAATATGCTCATACACATAAAATAAATATTTTTAAAGAATAGTTGGAGAATGACTAAGGAAGACACCTGACATTGCCCTCTGGCCTGAATGCAAATATACACGTACATACAACTATGCAGTCATATTCATAGATGACACATGCATAAAAAATGTTTTCCTCATTACTTAAAATCTAAAAAGTATTTTTAACATGTATTATATGTATGTGTATGCACATATGTGTGCAGGCACACGTGTGCCACAGCTCTCATGTGAAACTTAGAGGACAACTTGCAGGAGTTTTCTCTTTCCATATTGTAGGTTTCAGGGGTTGAACTCAGGTCATCAGACTTGGGGATAAGTACATTTACCTACTGAGCCATCTCGTGTATCTCACAGGCCTTAAAAAATGTATAAGAGAATTTTATTATCTAAAGAATTTTAGTTGAAACCTTCGTGGATATGCTCATGAACTTGGTCATTTTTTTAGGAATGACCATCAATCACATCCTTGTTACATGGTAGGGAGTGCTGGGGCTCACATGCTCGGAGTCCGACTCATACACTGCACTCGGCCTCATCCTTGTGTCCCCAGACAGGACTGCAATACCAGCCTGGTACGGGCCTGCTGGAACGAGCTTTTCACCCTTGGCCTGGCCCAATGTGCCCAGGTCATGAGTCTCTCTACCATCCTGGCAGCCATTGTCAACCACCTGCAGAACAGCATCCAGGAAGGTAGGTCCTGGGGATATGAGAGTAGAATGTGTCTTGATCCCGCCTGTGCCTGTAGAATAAAGCCGAGCCCTGGCTGACCCTGTGTCAGAGTTTTACCAAAAGAGTTGAGCCAGCTGCTCCCTGTGAATCATAAATTCTCCTCTAGTAAGTTCTGGAATGGCCATCTAATATATTGTGGTCAGGTGAATTATCAGCCGTTGAAGAATTAGAATGTTCATAAAGGGCCTACAGAGACTAGCTGGTATGAACAGAGGCATGAGTCCTGGCCATTAAAGGAATTACCCCTTGGTACCTACAGGCCGAGTTAGCTGCCTTACTCAGGCAGAGCACACAAAGCAGCAGAACTTGAGTACCTCTTATTACTTCAACTTCAGCTGGAAATGCAGCTCTTGACCAGCTTGAGATAACTTGGCTCTCTTTAAAAAGTCAAGTTACCCTCCCATTTGTCTCTGTAATCCCTCAAAAGACTGGTTTTATTGTTCATAGCACTTTTCCTCAGGGGCTCTGTAATGTTTGTTTGTAGATAAACTTTCTGGTGACCGGATAAAGCAAGTCATGGAGCACATCTGGAAACTGCAGGAGTTCTGTAACAGCATGGCAAAACTGGATATAGATGGCTATGAGTACGCATACCTTAAAGCTATAGTTCTCTTTAGCCCCGGTAAGATATGTGGTGGGGACTTGTGACACTTTTGCACTGTGTGTGCTGATACTTCTGAACATAACCATCTTGTCATCAGTGTAGAGAGCCCTTCCACATTTTCCATGACCTAGTGAGCTTTGCTACCTAACATCAGTACGTTGATTGTTAAATCCTTGCCGCTACAGCCCAGAAGAAATGTGCCACTGTATCTGAATGTACTGAAGGGATTTAATATATACCCTAACTAAGCCACTGACCAACGAGACCACCACCCGATGTCCCTTTCTTGCTTTGGCTCTTTGCCAGCTTCCAGGTTCTCTGAGCATATATAATCCAGGCAGGTTGGAACTCAGGTTTGCCCAGTCTCTGAGGATAGCAGCAGCTACTAAAAGGTGTGGCCATAGCAGCTGAAGAAACAGAACTCTTGGTGGAAAGCAAAAGGCACCTGGGCTGGCCTCACATGCCTCCTTTTTATAGCTGTTTTCAAAGCCTCTAGAGAGCTCACGTGAGCTGACCATTGACCTCAACAGCAAGGGCTGAACATTGTATGACCTTTTTCTTCCTCCCCAGCCCCTATTCACCATCAGCAAAGTAGCTAATAAAAATAGGAGTCATCTGGGACTGGAGAGATGGCTCAACTGTTAAGAGTAGTGGCTGCTCTTGCAGAGGACCCAGCTTTGATTCCTAGCACCTACATGGCTGCTAACAGCCATCCATAACTCCAGTTCCAGGGGATCCAGCGCCCTCTTCTGGCCTCCAAGGTCATTGCACAACATGGGTGCACTTACACACATTACAGGGAATACATTCATACACATAAAATATTAAAAATAGGAGTCATTGTACAATTAAGTATCTGGAAAATGGTTCTCATATAATTTTAAGATGTGTTTTCTAGAGTAATATAAAGGAAGAAGTTCAGAGCTAATCCGGGGGGGAGCTATTCTGACAATTTCCCAGTTCAATGAGTGAGCCTCCAGAACTTGATCTCTTGTATTTGATTAGTTTGTCAGCAGTCTGACTAAAAAGAAAGATTAAGAAATCCATGATACTTTCCAAATACAGAGGGAAACTTGGGTGCTTTCTGTTTTCAGATCATCCAGGTTTGGCAGGCACAAGCCAGATTGAGAAATTCCAGGAGAAGGCACAGATGGAACTACAGGACTATGTGCAGAAAACCTACTCGGAAGACACCTACCGGTGAGGCCTGAGGCCCTGGCCAGGACAGATGGGTGGGAGTGTGGCTGGGTCAGTTTCTAGCAATCTGGCAAAGCCTATATTTGATTAGTGACTTCTCATTGTAAAAGCAAGAATATGCTAGCACAGAAGTGTCAGCTTCTGTGAGAGGAAGCAGCACTAGAGTACTTGGCAAAGTGAAATCTGGCCCCTATAAAGGAGAGATAAGTTGTATATGGTAATTTTACCCTCAGATAAACTGATAGGGAAAATTAACAATAGGGTGTGGGTGTATGTATCAGCCTCATGCGGATTTGAATATAGAATGCATAGCAGGCCTTTCCAGACTGTGGCTACCTTTGCACATATTTTCTTCCTCATACTTTCCTCCCAAAGTAAGCAAAATGAACAGCCTGCAAAGACATTTGGCCTCCTTCCTCAGACTTGGATCCTCTGCATAGAAATCCATCTAGATTCCCTGGGCCCCCAAGTACTTCCTCTTCTGACCCTGTGCTTCTCAAATAAATGGTTTTGTACCTGCTGTCCTGGTTGGTCTTTCTGTGCTAAAACCAGGACAACCTTGTACACACCTCCTCAGACCAAATGCCACTTTCCCAGAACCATCCTCCACTGGAGTCACTGAAGACTCATCACACATGGAGGTGACTTCAGCCTCTGGTCCATATACAGTATGGCTGTCTGATTATGCACCACACCCACAAATTCTGATCTCTGGCCTGATTGCAAGTAAGTTGTTCCCCTAGGAGGCCACAAGCCTATTCCTGCAGCTTCTGTGGGGCAGCAGATGGGCATGGTCAATGGTCACTGCAGGCATAGCCACATAATAGAATTGCAGCTCTGTAGCCTTAGAAAGTAGATGTCATGCTTCTAACCCTGAGAGCCACTTCTGGTCCACTTAGAGATCAAGGAGAGGGACAAGGAGAAGGACGAAATATGGGATCGAGGGCCAAAACTAAAGATTTCTTACGTAACTAAGAAACCCACTCAGGGATTTTCTAAGGCAAATGTCTAAGATATGCTACATTCTATTGTAATTCTTTCTTAACACTTAAAAAAAAATTTTGTTTTTGGTCTTTTTGAGACAGGGTCTTCCTGTAGCCCCAGCAGATCTGGAACTCACTATGTAGACCAGGCTGGCCTTGAACTCAAAGAAATCTGCCTGCCCCTGCCTCCTGAGCACTGAGATTAAAGGCATGTGACACCACGCCCAGACAATGCTTAAAATATTCTTAATTTACTTTGTGTGTGTATGTAAATTGTAGGCACATGTGCGAGAGTGCACGAATTGAGGTCAGAGGACAGTCTTTGAGAGTTTTCTCTCCTTCAGTCCTGGGGGTTGAATGCAGATCAGTCAAGCTTCGTAGTAAGCACCTTCTACCCACTGACTGAGCCATCTCCTAGCCTCTGTAATTCACTGTATGCTTTCCCATTCCTATGCCTTTTCTCATACTGACTATCCCCACTAAATTACCTTTGTTTGCCTCCCTATTCTTAGCATCTCTGCTAGTAAAAACCTCACCAGCCTGAGGCCCAGCTGAGATGGCCTCATGCCACAGAAGTCCACCCTGATTTGCCCCTGCAACCCTTTGCTGTGTTTAGCTCCTCAGATCTGGTGTGGTGTCCTTATAAAAGGTGCCCTCAGGACTGGAGCACAGAGATTTAAGGTGGTTGAGTGAATGGATGGTGCTGCTTGTGCAAGATACATACGTATCCCCTTCCTCCTCCTCCCCCTCCCCCTCCAGGACAGGTCAGCACAGGCTGACCTCCAATTCTAATTCTCTTGCCTCAGCTTCCTGAGTGCTAGGATTGTAGGAATACATCATTACTGGCATTACTATTTTTATTTATTATTTAATATGTTTTGCCTGCATATATGTAAGTGAACCATGTGTGTGCAATGCCTATGAAGGCCAGAAGAGGGCAGTGGATTCCCTGGAACTGGAGTTATGGACAGTTGTTAGGCACCATGTAGGTACTGGGAACCGATCCCAGGTCCTCTGAAAGAGCAGCCAGTGAGTGCTCTTAACCACTGAGCCATGGCTCCAGCCCTGTATTTACTGTCCCTTTAATGAATCTATAGTGGTTAATTATTTGAAAACTCCATACTTTAACCTATCATCTTTTGATAGATTTCCAAGTATTTTCTTTGTGTACAGGTGGGAAGAATAGCTATAAACAACATAACATATTCACATTTTAAAGGATCATTTTCACTACATGTATTTTGTGTAGGTGTGGGGACCACGGCATACTGGTGGTCAGAGGGCAACTTGCAGGAGTTGGTTCTTTCCACCTTGTAGCTTCCAAGGATCAGACTCAGATTGTCAGCCTTCACAGCCAGTGACTTTACCCACTGGGCCATCCAACCAGCCTTATACTTTTTTTTTTTTGGTCTTTTTGAGGCAGGGTCTCCCTATAGTCCTAGCTGACCTGAACTCACTATGTAGACCAGGCTGGCCTTGAACTCACAAGGATCTGCCTGCCTCTGCCTCCCAAGTGCTAGGATTAAAGGCACGCACCACCACACCCGGCTCAGCCTTACACATTTTTGCACATTGTTTTCCTCATATTAAATGTTTAAAAACTGTTGAAATTTAAAAAAAAAAAAAAAAGTGAATGATGGATGAATCTGTTTGGTCACTTCTGTGTGGTTCTACAAGGACCCCCCAAGCAGCCAACCACTTAATTTCCCTAATGCCTGCTCTCTTCCAGATTGGCCCGGATTCTCGTCCGCCTGCCAGCACTCAGGCTCATGAGTTCCAACATAACAGAAGAACTTTTTTTTACTGGTCTCATTGGCAATGTTTCGATAGACAGTATAATTCCCTACATCCTCAAGATGGAGACCGCAGAGTATAACGGCCAGATCACTGGAGCCAGTCTGTAGTGCACAGTGGGCAGCTGAGGACAGGAAGAAGCCTCCTAGGACTGTGCAGATGCAGGGGAAGGAGAAGTAGTGGTGTCTTGGTATGTGCAAATATTTCCAGTGTAGTAACCACTTCCTACCTGGGTTCTTCTTACCTGTTCATCCAAACAATACCAACTAAAAGACTAGTAGGATCCTTTCCCTCCATAAGAAATGTTTTAATGCCTTTTGATGATGCAGATTTTGGAACAATCTTTTAATTCAATTTGTATTTAGAAATTCTCAAAGGGCAAAAAAAAAAAAAAAGGTTTTATAACGTCAGAGACTAGTATTAAAACTAAAAGACCCTAAGAATAGTATGTGTAAATACATTATTTAAAAAAAAAAACAACAACAACAACAAAAAAAAAAACGGGCTGGAGAGATGGCTCAGCGGTTAAGAGCACTGACTGCTCTTGCAGAGGACCCGGGTTCAATTCCCAGCACCCACATGGCGGCTACGAACTGTCCTTAACTCCAGTTCCAGGGGAATCCGAAGCCCTCTTCTGACCTCCGGCACTGCACGACACGGGTGCACTCACATACACGCAGGCAATACACTCATACACATAAAATAAAAACAAATAAAAAAATTTTTAAAAAATCAACAAAAGAAAAAAACCTCCTTGGAATTAATAGCTACTAATTACCAGGGTAATATTAGCACTTTCTAAGGACTTCTTATCAAATTTGTAATGTTAGCAACATCTTGCCAGAAGACAGGGCAAATGGAAAATTGTATGTCTTTTGCCGAAATGTAATGATTTTTGTGAAAACTCACTAGGGTACAGAAGACAATCATTCACTTTAGAAGAGGGCAGCACTCTGAACTGCACGCAGTGATCTTGAGCTTAATTCCTGAGTGAAATGTAGCTTATTGGCATTGTGTGTAAGTGGGAATGTCCAGGCAGCACAACTGGCAGTAACCCAAGCCAGAAGCTGCCATACCAGCCAGAGAGGTGCTTGTCAGCTTCCCTCCCATGGTCTTGATTTATGGTGCGTGTCTGCACTCTTCCAGTGTCTGCGCTTCTCCTCTGACTGGTTTTCAGAATTAGATTGCAACTTGTAAGAATTACCTGTGAAGTGAGTTATATATTCTTCCAGTGACTTAAAATGTGCCCAGGGTCCTACACCACTTATAGGAACTGGAGGCTTTTGACCAAAAAGTGCAAGATGGGTACTCTGAACCCGACAGCACTTCCTGAACATGACCTGGGTATGACAGTAGTTCATGCTGTCCAGGTAAGTGGGGCCTCTGCAGAGTGCGCTCTTCTAGGGGGGCTCTTATTCTCAGTGTGCCTGGAGAGAGGCCTGTATCTGTGCTCATTCAGAACCTGCGGCTGAATGGGGGCTATGTGAGCTCACAGCCTGCTGAGGGAGACTGGGGCTTGTATAGCTTAGCAGGTGTCAGGACACATTTCTTAAGTGTTAGAAGAGAGTTTTAGTGTCCCGAGACACAGTGCTCTTTAGTCTATAGCCCCCCAAGGCATTTAAAATAATACAGAAGCAGGCCACCCGCTCTTGGAAAAAGAGTTCAAAAGCAACCTTTAAGGTGGGGTACATAGGGTATGCCTTTAATCCCAGCACTTGGGAGGCTGAGGAAGGAGACTTAAATTTACTGCCAACCTGGGCAACTTAGTGAAGAAACCCCTTCTCAAAGTTTTTAAAGAGGTTGAGGGTGGAGTCTGGGCTGTAACTCAGTGGTACAGTGCTTGCCTTTCCTGTACTGGGGCCCTGGGTTCCATCTGCAGCATAGAAACAAAAAAGAAGAGTGACCATAGTTCCCACCAAGAATAGAATTCAGTTCCAAGGGAATTATGCCTGACTTAAAGCACTCTGCATTCCGATGAACACATGTCAGCAACTGCCTTTTCTGAGAAAAGTGGGAGGCTGAGCTCTAGGTACTTGGTATTTGCTTTTTGTTTAGTAGAAGTTAAGAAAAATACCTCCTACAAGGTTCAATCTGTGTCTGTTGAACCTGTTCAGAAAGGCCCACAGGTAATGTCATGGGGCTCAAGACAAGGCAGGCTGCTTCCTCTTGTGGTGTTAGGGATACTTCATATAAGCCACTGTCAAATTCCTGTCTGGATTGGAAACCAATATTGGAGAATAGTGGCCAGTACAAAATGATGGAAAGGGCTTAATTTTTCCAGTTTAAAGTTTTATTTATTTTTCTTATACTAATGTGTTTTTAATTCAAAAGACAAAAGGAGTGGGCAGGATAGTTGAAGCGGGTCTTTTTCATCTCTGTTTGTAAACTAGTTGGTCGAGGATATCTTGACATACATCTGTGCATCTTACAGCTGCTGGCTTTGCTTTCCTTGCATACCAGGTACTCCCAGGCCACTCAGAGACAGGACCTGGGTACCCCCTGGTCCATTCAGCTGTTTCTAGACTAGGTAAGAAGTGCTGAGCTCTGATAAGATGGCACTGAAGAAAAAAACCAATTTTGCTTAATAGTTGGTGAGTCTAGCCTGGTCCTTCTTAAAGTCCCTTATCTGGTAATGGTCAATTCAAGTGGACTACTATGGGCTTTCAAAACTCCTTTAAGGCTAGTTTTCCCAGATCATCTTGGCCTTACCTTAAAGCAGCCTTTTCTTTTAACAGCCATATTCACATACCCTAAAACTCACCAACTGAAATCATTTCAAGCCTTTTGGAGTGCTAGTCCATTCCATCTCTTATCAAATTGATTTAGGAAGCTCAGCCTCAAACCAATTATTTAATGAAATCACAGCCCAGTGTTTGGGTTCCAGCTTTCAGGGGTTTTACACCCTGATTAGGATTAGGAGTCTGTGACACTCTCAGGCTGATGAAGCATGATTGGCCCTCTGCCCACCTAGTTAAGCCACTTTGCCGTTGAGCCTAGCCACTCCTCTTCTCAGTTGAGGGGACATTGGCTCTGGGAGGTGGACACACAATATCCTGGTTAACTGGGCTCTTTTCCAAAAGTATCTGAAGTAATGTTAAGATAGTTATGTGTTAACATTTGAGATCATTACATAGAAGCATAAAAACAGGAGATGTAGACAAAGACCAAATTCCTTAGCAAATAGTAGTATTTATTTCCTCAAGGTGTTTTTACAATATGTCACCATCCTTCCAGTTTGCAGCATGTGTTGGAGTTTATTGTCCAGCCTCTTCATAAGGCTGAAGTTGGGTTGGGTTGTGTAGTTTTTTGTACTTTTAAGTTCAAGTAAATTCACTTGTCATGCCCTTGAGGGATCATTTTCCAGCTTGTCAGTGTCAGTATTAGGTACGGACTCTGTTGAGGTAGTCAAGCCATCAGCCAGGGTGGCCAGTGTGGACATTGTGGCCCCCAAGTGGAGTAGCAGTTTCTACACTTCACATACTGGCTATTTGGGGACAGTCCTGGCAGCGAGCCAACAATTGTGGCCCGTAGCTATGCTGGGGGTAGTGAGGCAAAGGGCATTTCTCACAGTCAGTCTGCTTACACACTGCCTCTGACTGGCATCCCTGGAAGCTTGTTGCTGCTTTCTAGTGGAAACAGCTTGGGCATGCAGTGGGCCATGAAAAGCGTCATCTGACAGCTGTTTCTTGGGGAGGGTCCTGGGAACATCTCACACTGGCAGAACAAGTTGCCCACCTCTTTTTTTACCCAACTTCCAGTCTCTAGATTATGCGGCTCTTTGCAAATGTCTTAACTTCAATGTAAAGTTTTAAAGCCGAGATCGGGTTGGTTTAGGTGTTTTGTACAAGGTTCTAGACCACCTCATAGAGTGCCTCCCATCAGTGTGCATCCCGTGCACAGCCCCAGTCCCTTCAGCCACATTTGGGTATGTCCAGAGTTACAGGCCTAGATGACTGAATGAATGTACATGTGTTTATATTATCTTCTCTGTACAGTGTATATAATGTGTGTACATATGTGTATATTATGTATACAGACATGTAGCCATGTATCCAAGCTTATGTTGTCAAGAGTTGATGCTAGCGTTGCTCATGTGAATGAATGTGGTGTTAAGGTCCCTCCAACAGGGAAGGTATGCTGGTGAGTTTCTTACCAACTACATTTCTCTGGGGCAAGGAGCTGCCTGGTAGAGGCCAAGCTGTCAGTCACTCCTACACAAGGAAGCCTCGAGCCAGAAAAGGTCTGGTTCGGAGGGCAGTTCTCTGGGTTCATAAGGGTCCGGAAGCTGGAAGAGAGATTAGCCTGATATGCAAAGCTACGTGGTGACTATGAACCTGCTTTCACAAACCAGTTAGGCCTAACTGGAAGGAACTTTGTAGCTAAGGCCATCAGCCTTCCCCCAGTACTCTGAGTTCTTTGTGTGGTTCTGAGACAGGCACAAGAGTCAGGGACTCAGGACTCTGCGGGGCTGTACAACTTGGGCACTGGCTTATGGCTTTCCCATCTCCATGCCAGGTAAAAATAAAAAGCTTACCAAATCCTCTTTCAAAATCAACAGTGCTGATAGCTAACTTGTGGTGGTTAAACCACAAATGGCAAATTACTCCTTTAACTAGAAATAAGTGAGGGGGATCCAGACTGAATTCTATTTTGTGAAAGTTGTATTTAATATGGACATGTCTGCCCATAAGAAAGCTAAAGTTGACAGGCTTTCCTCATTCACCAAATCTGATGAAATTTGTCCCCTGTAATTGGAATGTAGGCTGAGTTGTGGCATTTGGGAGCCAGGGCCCAGGCTGGCAGAGGCTGCTAGTGGCCATGATAAGCAGGGGCATGGCTGGAGGAGACCACTGGCTAAGTGCAAAGACTTGCTTGACCCACAAGTTGCTCTGTATTGTTGAAATAAGCTATCAAAATGTTTTAAGAAACACTTGATGAGACTAGTCCCCAGTGCCTTCTGTGAGACATGGGTCATTTGGCTTCAGCTTTCCACTTGAGTCCCTAGCCTCACCCCTCATGATTGTTCGATCATACCCATGTTGTTGCCTGTTGTGACAATCACACTATTAAAAGTGGCTTTCCAAGTAAAACACATGAAAGCTTGATAGTCTCTAAATGAATCCTTCCATTTTCTTCCAGGCTATTTGTCTTAACAGCAACCCTAAGAATAATTCAGCTGTGAGCTTTAAAGTATCTTAGGAAGGAGGAAGAAATAGCAGATATTTTTAATGCTCAGCAATTAAGCACTTTCAATTAATTTCAATAATTTTGGTGTTTATACATAAAACATAGAAAAACTGCTCAACATTTACCTATTGCTAGACTGTGTTAAATTTTAATGTTTGGGTAACATTTGGTGTAGACTATATAGTAAAAATGGCCTTTCTTCAGGAAAATACCATCAGTGGTCATCCTAACAGCCCGCACATTCACAGACTCCAATGCTGCTGTACAACTCAAGTGCTGGGATATTTTTCTAGTCTGTTTTCCCAATTATCTTGTAAATCAGTGTTCAACTAGTTTTATAACTGAAAAACTGCACATTTTTCATAGTACCAACTAGTTTTTACCTATGGTTTGGATTTCTCTGTTAAGATGTAGCTGCATTATCAGCCCTTTTTAAAAAAGACATCTATTAAAGGAAAATCCGGTGTGATTTTCTTGGGACTGTTTCTGTAATTTCACATTATAGAAAATGCCATTTATGCCATTACCTTTAATTCCAGGTTTAAAACCTGCTGAAAGCTGTCACCTTCCACAGCTTTCTTCCCCATGTGAAATCAGCTATTATGTGATGGCATTTAAAAAATAGCATGTTCTTTTTAAACTGAATTTTCTATCTAATCAATGTCTTCAGTCTTGAAGAATTTGCATTGTCATGTCTGTATATAGAGTATTGCAGTGCATGGTTAGCTTTATGCATTTTATTAAATGCTGTTTCAATGTGGCATTATTGTTGTGGCTTAATACTACCTAAATGAGGTTTATACTATTAAAAGTGAATTAAAGACCAGCATGTATCCCACTCATCTTTCTTTTTTCTCATAACAATAACAGCATGTGACCCAGGCATCCACCTAGAAACCAGCAGTTGGGAGAGACAGCTTGGCCAAAGTGATTTCTGTCGGGTAGGCTTGAAAATAACAGTGGAAAAACCCCAGCAGGATTGTCTCCATGTGCTCCCAGGACAGCAGCTCTGCATGGACGTTAAGATGTAACACAGACTGTTTCTAAACATGGGTGGGCCTCACTGAAACATAGGTACAGTCAGGCACCAGACCACCATGCTAGGTACAAGTTCTCAGATTCGGGAGCTGGACTGGAACTGCTCTTCCATCTTCTGACCATCACGATTGAGGGCTCAGAGGTCCCAGTCAGATCCTGACAGAGTTCACTGCTGCCAGTCAGCTTTATTGCCAGTTGTACCTCAAAGTGGAAACTTTATCACTTCAGGGTAACATCTGGCAAAAGCTAGTTAAAGTACATAGTGTGTCAAGGAGGACCAAATGTGTTCTGTTAGTTTGTTGTTTTTTTTTTAATATTTTATTTTTATTTTATGTGTATGAGTGTACTTACTGCCTGCATATATGCAAGTGCACCTACATCATGCAATGCCCTTGGAGGTCAGGAGGGCGTCGGATCTCCTGGAACTGGAGTTAATGGATAGTTGTAAGCTACCATGTGGGTGCTGGGATTTGAACCCTCTGTAAGAGCAATCAGTGCTTATAACCACTGAGCCATCTCTCCAGCCCCATTAGGTTTTTAAATGTATACAAGTGAACCCTCCTGTTCCTAAATAGGAAAAGACAGACTTAATGACTCTTCCCAGTGACGTCGGTTTCCACACCTCAGCATCTGCTGCCTACACAACCGAAGGAAGCAAGGTATCAAATTCCAGTCAAGTACTCCCACCCCATACACATTAAAGCCTATGTCCCCCTTCCACTCCAGCTTCCACAGGCCATCATCTGAACATGGGTCTGCCTAAAAGTAACAAGCCAGAACCAGAGCAGTGACTAGAAAGGCCTCACGTTGTACCATTTAACATGAATCCCTCCCTCATGGTTCATAAGCACACTGGCTGCCCTTATGTGGTTGGCCAGCTGCCCCCTCTCACCACTCTGCACAGAGAAACCAGGTGAGGACTGGAAGATGGGGCTTGAGTCTGCTCAGGGGAGGGCAGTAGCCCTGCCCTGAGCCCAAAGGGCCTTCGGCAATTTTAACCACTGCCTGTTGTACCCCATAAACTCATCATATGATTAAGTGCTAAAAGGTCTATAGTAAACATTGAGACAACCCTGGAAGGCTCTGCTGTCCTCTAAGGGATGGAACCAGCGTAACTGAAGTGACAGTGACAACAGAGGAAAAGAACTAGATGTCACACTCTCCCAACCTAACAAGCAACCTAACAAAGTCAAGTTAGACAGCACTGCTCAGCAGGAGAACCCCCAAGTTCCCACCAGGTGGTGCCTTCACAAGACTGAAAAAGATCCCTGCTATAGCCAACATAGTGCATCAGGGACCCCTCTACCCACAGCTGTGAACCCCCAGGAAGCAGGGGTTGCTAGGCTTTGGTTGAGAAGGTGAGCACTACCCATACACTTGTTTTGTACTAAAAGGAGAGGCATCCATCCTGCCAGCCACAGGTGGCTTAGCCAGAGGATAGCAGCCCTCCTGGCCTCCACTATAAAAGCCAGCAAAGATGAAGAGACAGTTCTAGAACTGAGACAGAGGATCCAGATTGCCTTGCACTCTCCTCAACCCAAAGCCGCCTGCCACAGACAGTCTTTGTGCCAGGAGGATCAGACCATGTGCATGTTATACTAAATCTTTTATTGGCATCTGTTCAGCAGCTGGCAACCCTGGCCCTCTCCCCATGTCCTTTACAAAGGTGTGTGAGCCGGCCTTTACATGGCAGAGAGATCTCCATCATCTGTGGTGCCAATGTAACCCGTCTCCATTATCAGTCCAGCCCAGTGACCTTGCTTAGTCCTGAGCTGTCAGAGAAGCTTTGTACTTCCCTGTCATCTCCTTGGGTAAGGGCACCAGGGCAGGGCAGGGCACCTGCCCTTCCACTTCGCACATGCATTCCCGCAGGCAGTATTTCCGAGGGCCAAAGTTGGCTGGATGAGAGCGCTGCTGCTTCTCCAGTTCCTCCTCCCTGAGAGTTTTCCTGCCAAGGAGCACACAGAGCAGCCAGGCATGATCAGGGGCTCAGGGAAAGCACCACTCCTAAGCTGAGACACCACACTTTCTCACCTTCTACCCTGTCCACAGCTCACCTTTGATCCCTCAACCTGAGGCAGAAGACAGACTTCAGGTGGCCTCCGTGTGAGGGAGAGGGGAAGGGCACCAGGAAGCACCTGGCTGCAGTCCCCTGACCACTGGAGCAACCCATGAGATCAATCACAAGGCAAAGGAGTCTCTCATTTTAGAGACTTTCTTGGCTTCCCTCTCTTTCTTCCTGCCCTTCCTCATTCAGAGAAACAAAGGGAATTTTGAGACCAGGATCCAAGTTTCCCTTGTTCACCCTCACAGCAAGGAAGTAGACAAGAGATTTGGTGACTTCAATTCACACACTGGTGACCAGTAAGACCAAACCCAAATTGATGCTACTGCCCAAGCTCATGTTATTGACTGGAGCTAGAGAATCTTTCTTCCCCACACCTTCCCTACACACCCTCTTCCTTCTCCCTCACATTCTTTGGGCAACTCACTCATTCTTCCCCAAGATTCTCCTGATGTGCTCCATGATCTCCTTATTACTCTTGGTCTCCACATCCACTAGGACCTGCTCCCCAGAATCTGCAAACAAGAGGCACAGAGGAGAAACTAAGGACTGAAGCAAATGTCTCAACCTCAAAAGGCTGGAACTGTCAGGTGTGGTGGCGCATGCCTATAGCCTCAAAAAGCAGAAGCATCCTGCTGGATGATGGACAGTTCAAGACCAGCCTAGGCTACACACTGAAACCCTGTCTTCAATTTACTTTTACTGACAGAAATAGTTCAATAATATTTTTAAATAACTGATAATCAGCATTAAGACATGTAGACAAACTGAAGTATATACAAAAAACATACAATTTTAATAAAAAGCTATTCTATGTTAAACTCATTGATTCAGTACAGTCTCCCTCCTACCACAATACAGTTTTTTAGAAACTTAACAAAATTAGTCTACAATTCATGTGGAAATGAAAAAAATCACAATTCTGAAAAATAAGAAAATGAGAAAGCTGGGGTATACAGGATAGAGCACTGAGCCACCCCAAGACCCTACACTCAATACCCAGCAACCAAGCAAAGGGGGATGCTGGCTCTCCACGTGTCCTATACCCAGAAACTATGCAGTCAAGATAATGAGCTGCTTCCCTAACAGCACACACCACAAATAAAACAGAACCAAGTTCAAGTTAAAGAAGCTCTTTTATCTGTAGTCAGCTGGTTTTCAGGAAAGATGCCAAGAGAATGCTTTTTTAAATTTTTATTATTTTTATGAGTGTATTGCCTGCACCCGTGTCGTGCAATGCCCACAGAGGTCAGAAGAGGGCATCAGAACTGGAGTAATGTTGATGGTTGTTACCCACCATGTGGGCAATGGGAATTAACCTGGTTCCTCTGCAAGAGCAGTCAATGCTCTTAACTGATGAACCAACTCTCCATCCCCAGAAAATTTCAACTAAGATAGTTTTTTCAACAAATACTGGAACTGAATTAATGCAAATAAATGAATTTAGACTGTAACCCCACATTATGAAAAAAAAATCAAAATGAACCAGAGACCTAAATTTAAGAGCTAAAACTATTATGTATGTGTCCACATGTTGCAATTAAATGGTGAATTTGTGGAGTCACTAGGTTCCTGTACTGGGTCCTCTCACTGGTTCCAGCTAAAACTTTTTAGAAAACTTACAGAAGAGGGCTGAGAATATAGCAGCAGACAGCACTTATCTAGCACTGGTAAGGCCTAGGGTTCAATCCCCAGCACACGAAAAAAAAAAAAAACAACGAAAATCTTCATGACCTTACCAAAGCAATATTTTTTCAGGCATATTAAAAACATGATCCATGCCAGGCGTGTGGCACACGCCTTTGATCCCAGCACTCGGGAGGCAGAGGCAGGTGGATCTCTGTGAGTTCAAGGCCAGCCTGGTCTACATAGTGAGTTCCACAAAGAAAGTAAATTTAATTTAAAATTCAAAACTTTCACTTCAGAAGATGCCACTAGCTAGAGACTGGGAGAAAAATAATCATGCATATGTATCTGACAAAAGAATTGTATCCAGAGTATTTATGAACTCACAATTCAGTAAGATAACCTGACTCTGAAAAAAGTGGGGGGCGGGGGAACAGAACAGGAGGCTGCAGAGATAGTCTAGCAGTTGAGCACTGGCTGCTCTTGCAGAGGACCTGGGTTTGGGTTTGGGTTTGGTTCCTAGCACCCACATGGCAGCTAAGAACTATTCTTAACCCCAGGTCCGGGTATCTTGTACCCTCTTCTGACTTCCTCGGGCATTGCACACATGGGTGCACTTACATACTTGGAAGCAAAATACACACATAAAATAAAAATTTTTTGTTTTGTTTTTTGTCTTTTGAGACAGAATCTCCCTCTAGCCCCAGTTGGCCTATAGAACTGAATTCCCTATGGAGACCAGAGATCTGCATCTGCCTTGCAAGTGCTGGGATTAAAGGTGTGCACCACCACAACCAGTGGAGGCCAAAATTTTTAAAACCAGAAAATTTAAGTACTAATGACAATGCTGAGTAACTTAAACCTTGCTTGTGGAACTGCAAAATATTTCTGCTGCTGAAGCCAGTAAACTAATGAAAAAAAAAAAAAGAAAATACAAAGAAAGTATTGTTCTGTGGTCTAAGATGATGTAATTAGAGTGTATATAGAAAATCTTAAGCAATTTAGAAAATTATTAGAAATAATGTCAGAAGAGACAAGGTGCAAATGCAGAACTCAGCTGCACTTCTGTGTAGTTATTTCCACCAAACCACAAGAAAAAGAAATGTTTAAGCTACTAACACAGCATCCTCAGTACTATTAAATGACTTATAATTTCAGTGTGACAAAACCACAACAAGCCTTTTTCTAGAAACTGGCAGACATCTTAAATTTATATAATCCCAGCACACAGCAGGCCAAGGCAGAAGGACCAAAAAGTCAAGGCTAGACCCCTGGCTCAAAAGCAAAAGATGTAGATTAATAAAATATCCGGGGGTGGGGAGTTGTCATGGCACCCAATTTCAATATAATGCTACAATACAAAGATCAGTGAAAGAGTTCAGTATATAATCAGGTAACTTTGTGTACAGTAAAACATAAAACTTAACTGTTTTAACCAAAACATACAACTCAGCGGTTTTTTTGTATAATCACAGCATTACTACTGTCTAGCTCCATAATTTTTCATAATCCAAACAGAAACCCTGTACTCCTTCACAGTTACTCTATTCCCCACTCCTGGCTATCACTTTGTTGCTATGGATTTACCTCTTCTGGAAACTTCCTGGTTTACCAGGATTACAGCAGATGTCAGCAGCCTGTCAGTCCTATCCCACAGCATGGAGAGACCAAACTGTACCTCATCATGGCCAGCTGACTATGGACAAAAATACCATGGAAATCCAACATATGCTTCAATAGTTGGACTTCCAAAATGTAGAAAATGAAACTCAACTTCAACTCCTGCCTTAGTACACAGAAAATAAGAATTATCACAAGCAGCCTGGAAAGATAGCTCAGTGGTTAAGAGTGCTTACAGAACAATCATGAGGACCAGAGTTCAGATCCCAGCACCCACATAACAAGCCTGTCATCCAACAAACAAGTCTGGCTTCAAGGGGTGTGGAGACAGGAGGATAGCTAGGGCTTGCTGGATTCCAGCCTAGCAAAAAACATGAGCCCCAGGTTCATGGAGAGACCCTGCTGCAAAGGAATTGGTAGATAGTGGAAGAATACACTGGACACCCTTTCTGGCCTGTGTAAGTGCACACAGGCACATGCACCTGCACCAGAGACACAAAAAAATTTTTATGATCACAGGCACAAAATGTGATTGTACTCCTAAGGAAATAAGAGTGGCTTTGTGGTATGAGAGGCGTTCTAGTCAGGCCACAAACCTATTAAACACAGGAAGTAGATGAGCTACAGTTGATAGAAATTAAAACTTGAAAAAAAAATCTTATTTAAGTTGGGCATGGTGGTGCATGCCTTTAATCCCAGCACTTGGGAGCAGCAGATGGAGTTAGATGTAGGCCAGCCTGTTCTACATGGTAAGTTCCAGGCCAGCTGGGACTATAGGAAGACCCAGTCTCAAAAAACCAAGACAAAAAATTTTTGATGTATTTTTATGTATGAGTATTTGCCTACATGTATGTAAGTGCACCATGTATGTGCAGTCCCCGTGAAGGCCAAAAGAGGGCATTGGATCCCTTAGAACTGGAGTTACAGACAGTTGTTAGATAACATGTAGGTGGTAGGAACTGAACCTGGGTCTTTGGCAAGGGCAGCCAGTGCCAAACTGGGTGGGGGGGGTTGCGGGGAATATAAGCCACAGACTTACAAATTACCCTCTGAGCACTGTCTGACAAGAAACTGCACTCAAACTACCACATATAAACAACAGTATGACAACAGCCCAAATTGGCTTCTGATGCTCTAGCCCCTAGAACACTAGAACATAAAAAAAGGAACTTTGTAAAAGTGCTAGTTTGAATATGACTCCAAAAGTTCATGTATTGGAAACTCCAATTCCCCAATCCTGCTCATGTGCAAGTGGGGCCTCTAGGTCACTAGGACTTGATGAGTTCATGAAGGTGAATACCAAGATGGCAGCAATGCCTATGTGAGGAAGAAAGGCTGAGCCACCAGCTTGTTGGTCAGGTGACACCCTCCACCCTTTGTCACACAGCTAAAACCTGCTCCACAGACATGGACCCTCAACCTCGGGTTTCTCAGCCTCCCTGTATTAGCTGCTCAGTTCAGTGCTCTTCTGGCTGCTTATGTCCAGTGCCAAGCTAGAATGTCTCCTGGACTGGCCAATCCCCTCTCTCAGGCTGTGTCCCCATCTACAGCTCTTCCCACCCAGATTCTCTTTCCCAGGTGTGGGATATACCACTTTCCTGCTACCCACACTCTATAACCCTCATATGAAGCTCATCAATAGATGAATGGACCAGGAGATTCATACAGTGGATGACTGCTAAGCAATTAATCAAGAAAAGCTGGGCACTAAGCATAGACTTAGGGTTCCAGCACACAGGAAGTTAAGCAGAAGATCACTTGAGCCCAGGAGTTTGAGGCCAGCCTGGGCAATACAGTGAGGCCTTGTCTCTGAAAAAGAAAAAGGATAAAGTGGCTAGGATGTAGCTGTGGGGGTAGAGCTCATTCTTAGCACTTTAAAGAGCCTGGGTTCCATCCTTAGATAATTATCAAAAACAGGATGAGTAAAGGGATTTTTGCAAAAGAAGACCTTGCTTAGGCTTTGATTCTTAGGGGCCAGGACATATCCCTGTGGTACAGTTTCCCTTTCCCACAGGATACATGGCTGGCAGAGAAACTACCAGCACAAGCAGATGATCTTGCCATATGTATGGGCAGAGCCTGCAGGGTCCTGGAATGGCTAGGGCACCTCCCAGCCAGCCAGGCACTGGCTTTTCCTCCCACAGACCCAGTGTCCAGAAAAGGAGAAGCTATCCTAAGAGACTGTGTTGATAAGAAATTCTAAGACAAAGCTGCCAAACATAGTGGCACATGTCCATAATCATTTAGAGGCTAAAGCAGGACAGCTATGAGTTTGAGGCCCACCAGGGCTACAGAGTGAGTCTCAAACAAAAAGTCCTAACATGCAGCCTTTAGGGGAGGCGACTGAATGCCAAAGCGACACCTCTTGATCCTCCTTGGGAGTGCAGGATACTCACCCAACCATACTGCTTTGTAGTTCCCTCACTAAAGTTCCACCCTGCTCCATGCAGTGACTTCAATCACAAGCATAGGGCCTGTGACCACCTTCTCTCCACAAGACCGAGCTAAGTTCCTAATGTTTACAGCACTTGTCCAACATCTCACTGCTTTTCTGTCTATTCTATCTCCCACCCACGAAGAATGCGATACCACCAAGCAGGGCTTTTAGCCTAAGGACTCCCTAACCTCTCAGCACCTGGCCCCAGGCTGCCCCTGGGCAACACTCCATCCGCACAACACAGGCAGATTTGAATATTGGTGGTTCTTCCTGTGGCAGTTCTACCATGGACCACAGAGGTGAGCAAAGGATGGGCTGCAAGTAACTGGCAATGGGATGAACAAGCAGGGTATCAGTGAGACACCTGACAGTCTACACCAAACTCAACTGAAAAGAGACACCCAGCTCCTAGTGGGATGAAGAATGGTGCTGAGCAAGGGCACCTGTGGCTTTTAAGAGACTGGTCAGCACAGAGGGGCACCAGGAGCTGAGGGCCAAGACTAGGCTTAAAGGATATTTGTTCAGAGGTTTTTCGGTGCTGGGGCTGGAGCCAGGGCCTTGTGTAGGCCTAGCACACACTCTATCACTGAACATACATCCTCAGCCTACTATCATTCCACTAGCTGACCGGCAGAAAGGGACTACCTGGCTAAGGGCCATCATAAGCAAAGGCACACCAGCACAGAGCAGCAAGAAATGTGGGGAGACTGGCAGAAAACAACTGGAAATGAGCTGGGAAGGGATAGGCGAGGGAGACAGGTCCAGATCTCAGTGGCTTCTGTGCACCCGTCAAGGAAGCCAAGGGCTGTGCATTGTGAAAGTGTAGTTTCAGACAGCCTGACTGCTACCCAGACAGGGCTGGAAGAGCAGAAGGTATCCTTCTCAGTCTCCCCAGTAACAGTCCCTATACTGTGCAGTTATGTGTCTCACTCACCTAGATAGAACCGCAGGAAGGGCGATGGCGTCATGTTCTTAAACAGCATGATCTGCACCCAAGGATTCTTGTACTGGATCTGAGGGATGTTGAAAAAAACGAATTTCCTGCAAAAGGCAAAAAATGAAACCATTTTTTCCCTAAAATTTTGTTCATACATTTTTCTATAAAGTCTAGGGTTTGCCTCAGATTCTAAGAGGAACCTATCTCCAACAGGTGGAAAAATATACCTTTCTCCATAAGGATGGCACAGGGATCTTCCACTGGTGTGTCCCCAACACTAGCGCATCCATTGGGACTTCTAGTCATAGTCAGTCACTGGAGGGTAAACAAACCTGTGCCCGCCCCATAGCATTCACATAACTCCCAGTATCAAGGCCATGGGAGAGTCCTGTACGCACACAGATCCTGCATCTCCATGTGCACAGTGAACAGGTCACTGAGAAGGCTCCTTACTGGCTGCACTGCATCTAGGTTATGCCACAATTTTAAAATGAATGAAACCATGAATATTACAGGAGTGTTTACAATCCAGGCATAGAAAAAAACCTTTAAACTTAGAATACTGAAATCAGGTAACTGACTACAATAAAATATTTACATGGCAAACATGCAAAAAACAAATTCAACATCTGCGGTGGGTGAAGGGGGTGGTGAGCGTGTTGCATACCTTTGATCCCAGCACTCCAGAGCCTGAGGCAGGAGGATGGAGTCCAAGGTCAACCTAGGCTACATAGATCTAGCTCAAACAAAAAGCATTAACATTTGCCAAACCATAAGAAAAATGTCTGTAAAACATTAAAAAGGATAATTCCCCTGAGACAGAGTTGCACACATCATTAGTAAAACTGACAGCAACAGAGGCAACAGCTACCACTAGACTGGGCTACACAGGAAGGAAAATATATGTGCATGTGCATGTGAATTGCCTTGACCTGTTTGGTGGTCAGCTTAGAATTAGAACACAGGCAAAGTCAAGGCTCCTCCCACCTATGCACACTGAGTCCTGGCCACCTGCTCACCATCCTGAACCTACCAACTATAAAGGCACCTTGCTGTCTGGCTTCATGAGTTCAAAGGGTGGTAGGAAGCACCAGCGCAGGCATGACAGGTAAAGGCAGCTACTTCTTTCCCTAGCTCAACCCTGGCATGTCCAGCCTAAAGGCCCCTGTGGACAGCCCTCTTGGTTCCCAGGCTCCAAGAGACATTCCCTTCCCTCACCTCTTCCAGTCTAGGCTGAAAACCACACTGTCCCTTGCAGTTTCATTTTTCCCTCTCCTGCCCACACTACTGTAAGCAATCCCTAAATTAAAGGCTCTCCAAATGCCCCCACTCAAAACAAAGGTATCCCTGCTTCCTGCTCAGCCTGCCCCAGCCACAGAAAGGGTTCGCGATGCACAGGACAGAAGCTTGGTCTCAGCCACTCTGCCTGACTGCAGATCCTGGTGTTCACTTTGTAGTCACATGACCCAGGGCAGGGGGTTGCTCTGTGCCTTAAAGGTTATACCAAGTGTACAGCCCTCTAGATTATGAGACTACACCACCAGTCCAGATTGAAACCACTAAAATAATTTCACAGATGAAATTAAAAACTCAATAGAAAGCCTGCCTATAACAACTTAAGGATACTTCCACAACTAGGACAGAATCTGCAATTAAATAAAGCAACAGAAATTATCAACTACAGGCAAAACAAAAGGATTTGCAAAAAACAAAAAGGAAGATAATCATAGTACTGTCTTTGGCTCAAGTGTGTCTGTTTACAAAGTCACAGTAACCTAATGAGTATTCTCAGTATTTAAATTCCTCAGAGAACTTTAGCTCTCTCCAAACTCAGGAAGTAAACTTCTAGGGAGGGTGGGCTGAATAAGATGCAGATGGTGGGCAGTGGTACCACATGTGTCCTCTTCTTCCATCACAGCAAGGCTGCAGGCAATGCCCAATCTAAAACAGTAAGTAAACGGGCTCAATTTGTACAGTGGTTGCACAAGCATGAGGACTTGAGTTTGATCCCCAGAAGCCCCTTAAGGGGAAAAAAAAAAAAAAGCTAGGCATGGTGGCTCTTGTATTCCCAGCTCTGGGGAGGTGGAATCAAGAGGCTCCCCAGGGCCTGCAGGCCAGCCTAGATGAATGTGTGCCCCTGGCCAAGGAGACCCTGTGTCAAAGAGAACAAGCTCCTCAGGAACAACACCCAAGGTTCTCCAATGGCCTCCAGACACATGTACCCACACACATACACACAAAAAATTAAAAGCTTTCTGAGTAAGTTATTTAATTACATGGGCATAAAACTCCAAGAACTCAAAATTGCTGCCTTTAGGGCCCTGAAGCTCCCACAGCACACCATCTGGAGGCTCAAAGGCCAAACTTAGCCTTCTCAGACCTCTGTTCCTTCCCACCCTACAGCAGAGTGATGGCCCAACATTACAGCACCTTGTGCAAATAAACCAGGACCTAGAGACATACTAGGTCATATGTGCTCTGAGGGTTCTTGCTGAGGGATGGTGACCAAAGGTCAGCACCCATTGTACTCTGCCAGGCACTTTATTCTCCAACACCTCCCCCACCACAACCCTGGAAGTTGGGGTGTTACAACAAAGGAAACTGAGATTAGGGGTGAACTGCCCCAATGTCACACAATTAAGGGAAAGGCCTCAGCTGTGCTTGCTCTGGGTTTCTACCACATAGGCCTGTCACTCAAATGATCATGTACTGCATCCTGAGGTCTTTGTCTTAAAAGCACAAACCTCTGGTAGAGGAGGGCTGGGCCTCTGGTTCTCGGGGAGGCATCTCCCCACTCACCCAACAGAGACCCATGCTAGTAGGGGCTGCAGGGCAGTCACTGGCCACTAGGAATGCAGGAAAGTCTCAGGGAGGGTAGAAATATTGAGCTCACATGCACAGCAGGGGTTGGCCAGCTAGGTGAGAGACAGCAAGCCCTTATCACTAGGATCAACCAAGCCTAATGTGTGGATGCCACTCATGGGGCGGGGGAGGGGGGCGTGTATTAAAGTATGTGAGAATGGAAGTACAGAGCTAATAGGCCTGTTTTGATGGAATTTTAAAAGCAGTCATATTTTAAAAATTGAAATGTTGACACATTAACAAATCAAGAATTCTCCCCAGAGCCCACAATACCAGGCCAGTGAGAACCCTTTGGGCAGGGCGTGTGCTTCTGGGTCAACACAGTCCCATCAGCTTGCCTCAGTTCTTTCCATCATTTTCCAAGCTGGGCCCTGGGACTTATGGTATCACACTGTTCAACGCGTTGTGAAAGGGCATCTGGGTGTCCACTGACTCAAGTCTTCCAAGAAGCCCTCCCTGGCTGACCCCTGGCTAGCAGATCCTCACTCCTTGGAGTCATCAGTTAATCGCAGATCCAGTCAAGTTGACACCCAGGATTAGCCATCACACCTAACAAGAGAAACAACTAGGAAAAGCTTCTGGTCCTCTTGCAGTCAAAGCTTTTCCACGGGGACACCCTCTACAAGGCACTGCTCTCCTCTCATTCAGATCCCTCCCACAAAACCTCTCCAGTCAGTATTCTCAGTCACTACTGAATTCTCAGCATTCAGTACTCAGCCCAGCGTTCCGTGGTGCTAAATAAATGTACAATGAGTACACGAAGAGCCCGAGGAACTGCTCAAGACATGCTCAAGAGTCAAACCTTTCCGTTGGGAACTGCCCTTAGCTGAGCTAGGCTGCTGTGCTGTGCGGAAACTACCACTCCGCTAACAACGCGTTTTCCCTCTCTCCAACTCCACACCTGTTCGCCCCGCACGCAGCTGTGATACCTAGAACCGCAACTTATCTAGCCCTGATGGGGGAACGACACTCGGGTTTCTGTCAGGATTCGCTGAGATCATCTCCATCAGGAGTTGCTTCTCTCACTGAACCCCACATCGCCCAAATCCAACAGGTGGAAGAGCCGGGGCCAGAGCCGCGCCTCGGCTGAGTGCTGGGCGTGACCCAAGACCTGCTGCCCCGGCCACTCAAGAGCGGCTAAGGGTCATGGGGCAGCTGGCCGGCCTCAGATCAGCCCGGGAGCAGATCGTCCGAGGAGCCCGGTCTGACCACGACCTCGTGCGCCACACTGACCTGGCGCCCTCGCCCAGCTCCCCGTGCGTGTTGTAGTTCACGGTCATGACCTTCACCGCGTCCTTGAATACAACATCGCCCCGGCCCAGGTACTGCAGTGTGCGGCGGATGGGGAAGCGGCCCTTCATGGGCATGGTGGTAACAGGAGCCCCTCAGGCCGCAGCCCCGCGCGACTCCTGACCCGCGCGGAATCACGGGAGACGCCTCCCGGTGTGCAGCGCGGCCGCGGGGCAGCCTGGGACTCGTAGTCCTGGGCCGGGGATCGGAGCGGTCCTCAATGTGTTCCGGAGTTTTGTAAGGGGCTGGAGTTTAAAGGCAGCTGGTAGCTTCAACCTTACATAAATCAAATGTTCGAACTGCGCAATTTCTAACATTTAACCTTTTTTTTTAAAAAAATCTGATTTGCAAAGGAGAAAAGAATGTGGGCTCTTTCTGGCGTGCAGCCTGCCACTCCACTCTGGGCTCGGTCAGTCCCCACAGCCAGTCAAAGCTCAGGCGGCTCAGGAAGACTTCGCTCCTTCACTTGTGAAGACTGCCGTAGGCTGAACTCCAGGTCCGAAAGGGTTCCTGGGTGTTTCTTGGTTCTTTTCCCTCGTTCAACCCCCCAACATTTCCCTCCGCATTTGTCGCAGTGAACATGTACCGTAAATCTTACTGTCGTTTATGTTTTTTTTTCCTTCTGGCTTCTCTCAATATTTTTCTTTTAATTGTGCTTGGTTTGTGCAGTTTGACATATACAGTGGAGATTTGTAGTATTTGTCTTGCTCTGTTCTCTTCCTGGATCTTTGGTTTGGTGTGTATCAGTTTTCAGTTCAAGTCCAGGCTGGACTTCAACTCCTGATCCTCCTCCTTCTGCTCCAGCGATCAGGGATTATAGGTGTGAACCACATCGCACCTAATCTTGGGAAGTTCTTATTCTCTCTTCTTTTGGAATTCCAACAGCATGACATGTTTTGAAACTGCCTCATAGTTCCTGAATGTCCTATTCTGCTCCTTTTAAACTTTCCTTTTTGCATTTCAGCAGGTTGTTTCCACCGACTTCCCCAACTTCACTGAACTGTCTACTGATGAACCCACTAAAAGATTGTCCATTTGTTAATCTTTTATTTCCAGTGCTTTCTTTTGACTCAGTGCTCTCACCTCTGCTTACATTATCCAGCTCCTCCGGAGGGCAGGAGCCACCTGTGTGCACACATGGACGCCAGAAGAGGGCGCTGGGTGTCCTGCTCTATCATTCTCCATTTGAGTCTTTCACTGAGCCTGGAGCTCGGCTTAGCAAGCCCCAGCAATCCTCCTTTATACTCCACATTGCTGGGGTTATAGGTACAAATGACCACACCCAGCATTTTACCTGGGTACTGGATCCAAACGCAGGTCCTCATGTTTGCACCTTCACAACCTGGGAGACCTAGGTGGCCATCCCCTAAGTCATCTCTCCAGCCCCGAACTGTTTTAAGAAAAAGGCAAGCTTGCTGAGTGTACTGCAAGAGCACAAGCAGGCACAGCAATAGCAGGGCTGCCTGCCATCCAACTGTTTTTTTTTCTAATATTTTATTTTTTATGTGTATGTGTATATTGCCTGCATGTAGGTAAGTGTACCTGTGTCGCACAATGCCCGCAAAGGAGAGAAGAGGCTGTTGGATCCTCTGGAACTGGAGTTATGGACTTTGTTAGGTGCCATGTGGGTGCTGGGATTCAAACCCCGGTCTTCTGCAAGAACAACCAGTGTTCTTAACTGCTGAGCCATCTCTCCAGCCCATTCAACTGTTCTTATGTCATTTGTTTCTTAGTTTCTGTATGATTAGCAGTTCAAATTTCCTGTCTGCCATTTCTATCAGTGGTTCAGTTTGCTTTATCTCCTCAGTTTAGCTCATCTTTTAGAATGCTTGTAACCATTTGTTGGTGGGGCAGCATTAGTTGTGCTGGGGAACAGAAACTGAGGTACATAAGCCTCTAGCTAGCAAAGTGAGTGTTGAATGTTTGCTGCACCTGTAGATATCAGAAGCTCCAAATTCCTGTAGTGTCTTTCCTTTTGTGTCCCTTCTTAACTTCTGGCTTCCATAGATGTTCCTCTGTTGTCTATCTTGCAGCTCTTCCAGTTGTGAGCTTATTTCCTACAGACCCATGGGGAGTGAGAGAAGGACCACCACACCCAGCTTGTTTTATTTTTTTAATAAAAGCTGATACAAGGCCCCAGCATAGTACATGCATATCAGTGACCATCAAGCTGACAGTCACCATAAAATAACCAACACAACCCACTCCTCCAGTCTGTGACCTATTAAAGAAGACCACCAACTTTTCAATATGAGTCCCATCACATAACTATGCCACATGACTCATGATGATTTAGAGGAGCGTTTTAGCATCTGAAAAGATGTTATGAGCAGTAGAGTGATAAGTACAATGAGTAAGGGCCCTTACTGTGTTAGACAGGGAGCACAGGCAAGGCTTCCAAAGGAAAGGCCAGTGTCTCATGATGCTTCAGAAGCCCTAAAGTCCCTTTCACATATGAACATGACCTATGTCTAGGCACAGGTCAACACCCCATCAAGAACTTGCTCTTTCACTCATGATGGAGCTGTTTGACCTGAAGGACTTCAGAAAGTATGAATGTTTACATGAGGTAAGAACTTGATGAGGTTACATTCATAGGCCATTTTTCTCTACAGTCAATCCCTCCATAATCCCACCTTGGCCCACATGAATTCTGGGAAGTGGTGCAGCCAAGAGGTAGAGAGGTCTCTCCTGTCATGTCACAACTACAGGAGAATATGGCCAGGGAGGAATTCAATGGAAGAGCTCAGTGAAACCCCCAGGATCTGGTTTTAGTTAGTTTAGTATATTCAGTGAGTTGGGTCTTTAAAAATCAGTTTTTAAAAGCGGTTGTGTTTCTCAGTGCTCTCAGCCACAGACTACTTCCTGGGCATGAGTTCAGGGAAGGAGTACATTTAGTGAATCATCCAGCTTATTAAGAAACCCATTCTCATAAGAAAAGCAATGTCTACAACCATACCACTCTGAATAACAAGCTTGAACTTGTCTTACAAGAAAAGCGATGCCAATGAAAACCAGCAGTGAGCTTCATTCTGTACAGAGGGCTGCTGCCTCTTCAGTCAGACAAAAGGCAGCCCAAGCAAAGAAGGACATGCCTGCTATGCCCAGAATTCCAAGTAACAGCATCAAAGGCCCAGGACTCAGAAAGAGGCCATAGCAGAACATGGCAGAACAGCCCATGGCACCAGCAAGATGGCAACTGGCTGGTGCTAGTAATCCATTCATAGTCCTATAAACATTTGTCAGCAAAACTCAAAGGGTCCTTTGCACCAACCCCACCCCCATTCCCACAGTCCCATATAAGACTTTTTCATTCAGCCAAAAGGCCCAGCAGGTGCTAAAGAATTGGGATTAGAGCTGCCAAAATGGAGATCTTTACACCCAGGGGTTGACACCAAGATGGGTCTTCATCAGAATGTGACAAAAGAATTTCAGCTCTCATACCAGTAACCAATGGAAGCCAAGGTCTAGAGTTAATAAAGTGACTAGTGGTCAGTTATTGTCCATAAACTGACAAGTGGCATTGCAGAAACTACCTAAAGCTTAGCACACCTGGAGCTTATGAGTCAGCTGTCAGTCAAGGGCTCTGTTCCTGTAAACCAAAATACTAAGCTACACAACTTCCCTTTCTGTCCTATCAAAGAGTTCAAGTACTTCAGGGATGTGGAATGATCCTAGGCTGTTCATCAAAGTATTTCCATTTCTCAATACTAAAAGTAGTAAGAAAACATTTCACCAGTGCCAAGTCAGAATGAACCACAGGGAAGAAGACTGATCAGACAGCCTTGGAACTTACTAGAATTTATCTTCTAACTCAAAGTGGATACCTCTCTTGACGATACGCCACAGAAGCTTCCTGATCACAATTCCTGAACTAGTCAGCCAGCCCTTGAATGAGACCAAGAACAATCTTTCTGCCTAAGCCCTGAAGGGAAGTTTCCAAGGAACAGACAACTGCTCAAGCAGAAACTTCTCCTAAATCATACTAACATCCACCAAAAAATTTATCAGTCCTTTTTCATACTCAAGCCACATAGATACCCCTGCACTGGGAACTTTACTTCCTTTAACTGTGATGGGACCATGCTGGCAACACTCCCCTGCCCCATAAAAAGACACTCTGGGCCCCTCTGGGTCCAGATTTCCCCTTCATAACAGCACCTCCCTTACAGCCCAGCAGACAGTTCTGAGAGGGAGGAGAGCCCTGGTGAAAGAGTCCACAGCCCAATGACAGATTTCTGGAGCAAACAATGGCTCATAGTGTCCATCCTGCCTCTTTGGGTACAGGACCTGCCAAGGGCTGCCCTGCATCATGACTGAGAACAGGCAGCAACAAACAGACCAAGTGGTGCCCAGCAGCCATTTCTGCCCTGTCCTAACAGATCTACATTGAGATGTATCTCAGAAATAAAGTTAAAGCCTCCTTGAAAAAGGAAAACCCCGATTAAAAATAATTTTTAAATTAAAAAAAAAAACACAGAAAAAACAGCAAATGAATGCTGATTTTTTTTTTCTTCTGTTCTTGTTAAGCTGTAGTGGAAATGCTTCAAAGTGCACAGCACAGAACTGTACATTCCTGTCCCTCACCTGTGTACATCCAGATGGCCACCCTCTCTCCTCCCTCTTGGTAGCCCCTGCCTTGTCCTACTGCCCAGACCTCTATCAGGTCCCTGCCCACTGTTGTCAGTCAAGACCCCCCCTTCTGCTTGGCCAGGGTACACTTCAGCTCCCGCAGGTTCTCAGTCAGCACCTCCACCTCGTCCAGACGGCCACACTGCTTGGCATCAAATATGTAAGCCTTGATGTTGTCAATCTGCTGCAGGAGCAAATCCTCCTCGATGTGCTCCTCGGCCTCTGTGCCACTGTCACTGTCCACCTCAAAGGGATTGGTGCAGATGCACTCCTCAAAGGGGTTTCCAGGAGCAGGTGGGCTCAAAGGCCTTGGCTGGGGTTGGTCATCTTCATCAAAGGGGTTAGGAGCTGGACTGTCTGGGTCAGTGAAGGGATTCCTTACCCCCAACGCTGCCTCCTCTTCCTCAGCATCCTCCTCAAAAGGATTGTACTCCCTAGGGACAGCAGCTGGAGGGCCCAGGAAAGCCTCTAGAGCAGGGCTGGCAGCACCTTCCTCTGTAGGGCTGGAGAGGTCTTCCTCATCAAATGGATTGAGGGAGGATATATCACTTTGTTGTGACATGGTGCTCTGGGGGAGTAATTCCTGGCCAAGGGCTGGGGGCCCAGACCACATGTGGATGGGTGCTGGAGCTAAGCCAGGTGTAGGGGTCTCAGGGGCTGAGCTGCCCTGAACTGGGGAAGAGCCCAGATCTAAGGCATAAGCAAGGTGAGTGCGAGGCCCTCTACTGGGCTCCAACTGGAAGGGTGCAACTTCTCGAAAGTCTAGGGACCTAGTCCGTGTATGCAGGGATGCCACCCGGAACAGTTCCTGTTCTCGTTCCCATTCACGCTGGCAGAGCATCTGAAGCTGTTCCCGCTGCAGGTCCTCCTCCTCTGCCTGCCTCCGGGACAGCTCAATGGCCTTCTCAGTCTGCTGCTGGTCATACTCATCCTGCAGCTGCCGCAGGTTCTCCTGCAGTGTGCGCACCTCATCTGTGCGACCTGCAGCCTTGGCCTGCCTGATGAAGGATGTGATATTGTGGATCTGCTGGAGGAGGGGATCAGGGTCTTCACTCTGTCCCTGACCTTCCGACAACGGGAGCCAGCCCTCAGCCTTTCTCAAGGGGGCAGAGCCCCTTCGGAGAGATGTCACTTCCCCATTGGCCGCACGAGATGCCAAGCCACTCTGCCTTTCCTCAAGACCTCGCCGAGACTCCAGGGCAGCCTGCGGACACCAAACACCACCACAGTCACCAGTAAGCAACAGTCTACCCTGTCAGCCACCATCTATGGGCCTAGCACCTTCCTGCCTCTGAACTAAGATAATCCAACTGCTCAAACAAGATAGTCATAGGGGGTGAGGCAGGCTTTGATTTTCAAAAATAACAATAGTTAAGTTAGGAATAATACATTCCTGATCTTAGTTTCATTGGCTACACACTTTCTAAATCTCCATCACTAGTACCCTTACCTACATAATGATAAAATTTCACATGATGTTAAATATACATGTTATTTCTTGTTCTCATTTTGTTTCTTGTGGTACTGGGGATGGAACCCAGGGCCTCAAGCATGCTAAGCAGGTACTCTATCACTGAACTATACTCTAGCACCCTCATTTTTCTTGTAAAATATGTGGTCTCACTATGTGGCCCAGGCTGGCCTAGAACTTATAATCCTCTTGTCTCAGCCTCCTGAGGGCTGAGATATAGGCAATGTACCATCATACTCCACTGTGTTCTGTTTAACAGTGCAAATTCCAATGTATTCTATGAGAACCTCCAGCAAGCCAACCAAAGGGAAAATTGCCAATCCCTATGGTGATCTAGGCAGAAGAGAATCAGCAGAAATACTAAAAGAACACTAGGGCCCAGTGAGAAAGCGAACAATTATTCTGGTTCCCACAGATGAGGGTGAGGGCAGAACAGAACAAGTCTGCATGAGAACAAGTGGCTCAGCAGCTAGGGGTCAAGAGCAGGGAGGCAGCAGCCACAGGGGGCCTGGACCCCACACACCTGTCTCTCTATGGTCCTCTTCTGCTCCAGGTCCTGCTTCCTTTTCTTTTTCAGTTCTTCAAACTGTTCTTTAGTTGGCAGTGACATCAAACCCAGTAACTTTTCCTATAGGTGTACCAAAGATAATTTTTACACTGAAACCTCTTCAGAAAAAAATGAACCTTAAGCCTTGTCTGCTTAGGCCTAGCCATTCCACCCCACAGAGTGACCATCAGCCATCAGCAGGAAGAAGTTGATCCTGATAAGAAGTCACTTTCAGATGGGCCTGCCTTTTCCTTATGAGATGGTCACAACAAATCTCCAGATGTCCCCCTGGCCCACTGTTAGCTTCTCCAGGCTGTGTCCTTGACCCATCTACTTTCATATACCTACATCCCAGCCCTTCCCACTACCGTTTTTGCTTACCATCCTTCATGTTTCTCCTCAGCACTTTTTACTCTAACATATCATTTTATTTTTGTCATGTGTTTTCTGTCCTGTTGGAGGGAAACTTAGAGGCTCAAGAGGTCATGAAACTTAAAGAATTTATAAAACTCAGAAAACTCCTGAAATTTCTAAGACTCACAATATGTTTCCAAGAGTATGTAAGCAGTAATTTTTGAAGCAGAACAAAACAGATTATATAAGCAGTAAACAATTACTGGGAAAAAGGAGTTTCTTCCTTAGAGCTGCTTTTAACCACCAAGCTACCCAGGGACTCCAATAATGCAGCTTTAGTGAGTCACTGCCCTGCTAGTATGGGCTTTGTGGGATGCAGCTACATTGAGTAAACTATGTTCCTGGGTGTAACCCTAATAACTCAGTGTCTCACCAAGCCAAACTTAGATAGAATCATTTCCTTGATCTGTCACTGGTGCCTTATCTGGGGCAAATAAACCTTTATTCATGTTTCTCCAGGAAAACTTACACAATACCCCTCTCTAGAATATAAACTTAATTAGGACAGGACTGTGGGTCCCCTTTTTCATCACAGGACACCCAGCACCTAAAACACTGCCCGCAGAATTCAACAAATGGTTGCTAAGAAGAACAAAAGAGAAAAGTCTAATTATCTGCACCATGGTGTGAGAAAACAGGCCCAAAGCAATCCTATTGGATATTCTTGTCAGGGAATTATTTTTACTCTGCCCCTAAACCATTAGCCAATAACCCAGAATCCCTGTGGAGCTTATTCTATAAAAGAAACACCACTTAAAGAGTTATTAAAGCAAAAACTTAGAATCCATCAACTCCCCAACTAAAATGAAATAGCTAAATAAAGGATAGTAGATATGGCCAAATCAGCATTCCATAGCCGAACAAAGCCAGTTAAACACTGTGAAACAGTGCTCAATATAAAACTCAGGGATTCAAACAAGACACAAGTTTCAAGCACACATGATGGCTAACCTTTGTTGTCCATTTGGCTAGATTTAGAATCACCAGGGAAACACACCTATGAATGTGTCTATAAAGGTCTTTCCAGAAAGGTTTGACTCAAGTGGCAAGACCCACCCTGGGTGTGGGTAGCACCATACCATGGGCTGGGGTCCTGGACTGAATAAAAAGGAGAAAGTGAGCTGAGCACCAGCATTCATCTCTCTTCTACTTCCTAACTTCAGAGGCAATGTAACCAGATGCTTCAAGCTCTTGCCATGATGGACTACACTGTCAAACTGTGACCCAAAATAAATCCTCCCTGCCTTAAGTTACTTTCATCAGGTATTTTGTCAACAGCAATGAGAAAACTAATACAATGAACTAATTATAAATACTCCATACAAGAGCTGGAAAGATGGCTCCACGGTTAAAAGCACTGGTTGTTCTTCTTGGGTTTGGGTCCCAGTACCCACCCACATGGTAGCTAACAACCATCCAAAACCACAGTTCCAGGGGATCTAATGCTCTCTTCTAACCTACACTGGCATTACACATACATGGTGCACCTACATACGTGTAGGCAAAACAATCATACATTTAAAAAATTTTAACTGCCTATAAAAAATGCAAATAGAAAAAAAAACAAAACAAGAAAACACACCAAAAGGAAGAGTATAATAATTATTGGAGACACAAAATTAAAAGTAGCTTTATGCATAAGACCTGCACATATGCAAAAATAAAAGGCATGAAGAAGGAAGGAGACTAGTTGGGAAGAAGGAAATAAGAATGGGTAATGGGGATGAATATTAGCACAATACATCATATATATGTATGGAAGTCAAAAATTTTTAGTTTTTGCCAGGCTTGGTGGTGTACACCTGTAATCCCAGCACTTAGGAGGCAGAGGGAGGCGGATCTCTGAGTTCGAGGCCAGCCTGGTCTACATAGCAAGTTCCAGGCCTGCTGGGGCTACAGGGAGACCCTGTCTCAAAAAAGACCAAAAAAATTTTTTTTAGTTTTTAATTCATCTTTAGCCTGCATGTATGTAAGTGCATCCATGTCATGCAATGCCACAGAGGCCGAGAGAGGATGTCAGATCCCCTAGAACTGGTTTATGGATGATTGTTAGCTGCCATGTGGGTGCTGGGGCCTTCTCCAAGAGCAGCAAGTGCTCTTAACCACTGAGCCATCTCTCCAGCCCCCGAAATAATTAATTTTTTAAAGTACTTTTACCTATATTTGTTTTTTTCTCCAAATGTGACAGTTATAATGCATTTATAATGCATTCATAATCTTAAGAAATAATAAATGAATAAACAGAAAACAAGCAAGCCAGTGGCATGAATCTATCTTCTGAGAGAAAGAAGAGCAGGACAGACCATAAATGTCACACACCTATGTCACCCCAGCCTGGCTTTACCTGCACAAAAAGTGTAGCTGAGTATCTTATCATCCTCTGTAGCCGCAAAGTGTTTGGATGTGGTGGAGGATCCTGATTCAAGTCCAAGGTTAGGATCTTCTTACTGAATTGGAACAAACACATCAGTCTAATGAGTACTGCCAGCCTCAGAAACAAAGTAAAGTCTGTGTGCTGCTAGGCTTTCATGCCAGGAAGATGTGGAGAAATAGTTAAGAGACTAAAGTGTTCCCGATGGCAAAGCCCATTCCTTACCCTTTGGTTACCCTAACACAGAACAGATTGTGTGACAAATATATGGTCACTGAGGAACTGACCACATACCAAGGCCTAGATTCACAGATGACTAACCTGGGTTATGACATAGGATATGGCAATTAAAAGCCAATACTTGAATGCCCTGCTGGTATTGTCTTAAAATTCTCAAAGTCTGAATAAAACAGTGTTTTCATTTTGCACCAGGCCTTGCAAATTATATAGCAAGTCCAGCAAGTCTCTATGGACAATGGTTCATCTCAGTTATTGCTCTGAGCTCCTACACTCCCTCCAAGGGCATTGAGGTCTTCAAGAGTGGTACACCTATGAAGAAAGAACCTAGTCAGGTGTGGTGGCACACACCTTAAATCCCAGCACTAGAGAGGCAGAGGCTGGCAGTTCACTGTGAAATCGAGGGCAGACTGGCCTACACAGTGAGCTCCAGGGCCAGCTGGGATTACAGGGAGACCCTGTCTCAAAAAAACCAACAACAAAAAAAACAAAAAAGAACTAACCTGGGTTTCTATTGCAGTTCCTCCACTGTCATTAGCTATGCCATTATCTCCTTAATCTATAAAATTGAGATGCTAATCATGATCTTTGGGTAACTTTGCTAGAATACATTGCTCCATGAGGACAGTCCAGTGACAAGCACACAGTTGGTATCAGAAGCTGCCTATTTCTTTATTACTAATGACCATTTGAAATCTTTTTTCCCCAGCAGTGCCAGGGACATAGAACCCAGGGCCTTGCCATAGTAGGCAAGTATTCTACCACTGACTACACTCCAGCCCCAACCATTCTAAATCCTTAGCCAAAAGTTATAGAGCTCTATTAAGGATCAAAGCAAGCACCTTCCCTCCTGCCATGTTCTGACACCAGGATTCTAGATAAGCCAATATCTGTTCACCACCACCCACAGCTTCATCAAAGTATCACCTCCCCATAAGCCAACAGAAACATGACCAAGCAGACTTTTACCTTAAAGCATCTATTAGCTCATATACTTTTTGCACTTCCAATCGAAGGTCATTGGCATGTTCCAGACTGTAGGTTGTCTCTCCAGCACTAAGGAAAAATAAAAAATGCTTGATCTAAGTTTTATCATGCTGACTACAAAGCACAGTATAGGACTTCCCAAGGTTTAAGGGCCCAGAAAAGGGGATTCTCTCTAAGGACATTTTAGAATCAGGGAGACAATGCACTGTTTCTTCCTTGGGATGTAGTAATCAAGCAAAAGTGACTTTGATATGCAGATACCCTGGAGATAGACCAGAACTCTGAGGACCTCAGGACCAGTTTTTTTTTTTAAATTGTTTTATGTGTATGAATGTTTTGCCTACATGTGTATAAGTATACCACATGCATGGAAGTCTCATGGAAGCCAGAAGACTGCATTAGATTCCTTAGAACTAGAGTTATAGATGGTTGTGAGCCACCATGTAGATGTTAGGAACCAAACCCAGGTTCTCTGCAAAACAGCTAGTGTTCTTAACCACTGAGCCATCTCTAGCCACCCCACCTTTTTTTGGTCTTTTTGAGACAGGGTTTCCCTGTAGCCCCAGCTGGCACAGAACTGGCTATGTAGACCAGGCTGGCCTCAATCTCACAAAGATCTGCCCGCCTCTGCCTCTGCCCCCGAGTGCTGGGATTATAGATAGACGACACCATGCCTGGCTCAGCTCCTCTTTAAAAGAAAAAAAAAAAAAAAAAAATTTTTTTTTTTTGGTCTTTTTGAGACAGGGTCTCCCTGTAGCCCCAGCTGTCCTGGAACTCACTATGTAGACCAGGCTGGCCTTGAACTCAAAGAGATCCGCCTGCCTCTGCCTCCCAAGTGCTGGTATTAAAGGTGTACACCACCATGCCTGGCTAGAAAAAAAAATTTCAAAAGAAAGATTTATCTTATCAGGACTGAGGAGATGACTCAGTAATTAGTGTGCGTATTACTCTTCTAGAGGACCAGAGTTCAATACTCAGCACCCATGTTGGGCAGTTCAGAACTGCCTATAATTCCAACTCCAGGGGATCCAATGCCCTGATCCAGGCACTGCACACACATGCATATACCCCCCCACATGCACAATTTAAAATTAATAAAAATAAGTATTTCATTATTTTTTTATTTTATTATTTTTATTTTATGTGTATTCATGTATTGCCTGCATGTAGGTAAGTGCGCCCATGTCCTGCAATGCCCGCAGAGGTCAGAAGAGGCTGTCGGATCCCCTGGGACTAGAGTTACAGATAGCTGTTAGCTGCCATGTGGGTGCTGGGATTCGAACCTGGGTCTTTTGCAAGAACAACTAGTGTTCTTAACCACTGAGTCATCTCTCCAGCCCCTATTTCATTATTTTTAATTATGTGTATATGTGTGCATGTATGTGTGTATGGTATGTGCACTTGAGTGCAGGTGCCTAAGGAGGCCAGAAACGTCAGATTCCCTGGAGCTGGAGTTACAGGTGGTTGTGAGGTTGTAAGCCAACTGACATAGGTGCTAGGAACCAAATTCGGGTCCTCCTGAAGATTAGTACATGCTCTTAACCACAAAGCCATCTCCCCAGCCCCTGAGGACTGGCTCTTGTGCTCAATGACAGAACAAATGCAGCTGAATCCACTTCGGCTCATGAGCCCTGAGCAATGTCACTGTCTCTTACAGGATGCATGAAGTAACCTAAATAAACCAGTCAATTATACTACATGGGAGCAGAAGAGTCACTTGAGTTTTCACACTCAACTGCCAAAGAGAACAACTAAGCAGGGGACAAGAATCCACTGAGCTCAGTGTCAACTGCTCCACACCTGCACTCTCTAAAACAAATGCCCTCCTCAGAGACAACTTCCCCTCACATACCCTTCATAAACCACTGCCCCTAATCCCCACCCCTCTCACAGACAACTGCCCCTCACTCCCCTTCTCAAAGACTGCTCCCTATAGGAGACAATTACTTGGGCTCCAAGTCCAGCAGGATGGGAATGGCTTCCCAGGATGAAGAGGACATCAGAAAAGGCCAAAAGTGTCATAACTCAGAAGGATAGCAATAGCACCATGTGATAGTATAATTATTCATTTACAACACTGTCACTCCTACTTGCCAGACTGCTGAATTCCAAGTGCCTTCATTATGACTTTTCTTTTCTATAGTCTTAGTGAGATGCTTCTGAGCCAAAACAGCTCAGCAGGTCTCAGCTGTTATCAACCTCACCAATAGCCACTCAAAACTATATAGGAAGCAGCTGCAATGTAAGCATTACCAATTTTACCATCCATAAAACAGTTTTAGCTAGAAAAAATACCAGAGTGTTCTATAATCAGAGGATTCAATGCTGTGATTTTATCATCTCTCATCACAAAACTTACTGAACATGAAACCAAAAGTCAGAAAACAGGCTTTGTCTGGTTTGCTGCTGCTACTACTACTTCTATTTTTTTAAAGTAAAGCCTTCGTATGTTGAATATATATGGTCTCAAACTCCAGAGTTCAAGTGATCCTCCTGCCTCAGGCTCCTAAGTAGCTAGAACTAAGGCTGTGTCTTGGTATCTCCCAGAAAATCAGAAAGTTCTTTAAAATGTGAAATCATTTCTTCGGTCTCTATCATATCAACTTCCTTCCCTCAGAACAGCGATCATGGCTAGAGTTATCCTCTTCATGACTTGCTCACTCAATGACAGTCTGTGCTCTCACTAAAGTAAAGCTCCATGACAGCACTGTCTTCCCTGTTCACTGCCTCAGCCCCAGAACTCTAATACAGCAGGGCTGGCACATAACTGGTACTCAGTGAGTTCCTGCTAAATGAATGATGAATGAAGTGGACATAAAACCCTGTAAAGTTGGTTTTTGGAGGAGCAAGAGAAGTCAACCATCTGGAAATGTGCTCAGCAATGGCTGTCCCACTGGTCAAGGAAGCCCACTACCTATAGATGCATCTATGCAGGAAAAGCACAGAATGTAGAGAGGTAGCGCTAGCCATGGCACACATGTGCCCACAATTACACATCAATCAATCAATCTATAAAAAGATGGATGACAACAAATGCTGGCCAGGCTATGGAGAAATAGAAACTCATACAATGTCAGAGGGAATGTAAATTCATTTAGTTCTTTTGGAAAACAATTTTGCAATTCTTTGAAAAGTTAAACATAGTTACCATAAAACCCAGAGGCTATACTCCTAGGTAAAAGAAATGGAAATATATGTAAAAACACACACATTCTCTCTCTCTCTCTCTCTCTCTCTCTCTGTCTCTCTCTCTCAACTCAATGAATATGAAAGGTGCATTATTCCTGGCCAGGCATGGTAGTACATGCCTATAGTCCTAGTACTTGTGAGGTGGAGACAGGAGAATCAGGAGTTCAAAGCCAAATTCAGCTAGAGTGAGTTCCAGGCTAGCCCAGACTACATGAGAACTTGTCTCAAAACCAACAGAAACAAAAATTAAAAGGTACATTATAACAGTTAAAAGTAAAAAAATGCAAATGTACATCAGTTGACAAATGGATGAACAAACTTGATAAATCTACATCTTAATACAAGGGGAAAAAAGTAGTACATGCTGCAACATGGGTGAATATTGAAAACTGCACTACGTAAAAGAAGCCAGACACAAAAGATCACATAATTTCATTTACCTGATATATCACAAATTGACACAGAGACAGAACAGACAGTTCAATGGTTGTGAGGGTTACAGGCAGAAGGTTACTTGCTAGAGTGATAGAAATGTTGGGACTTAAGATTGTGGTAACAGTTGAGCAACCTTGTGACTATACTATTATAAAAATCACTGAACTATACACTTTAAAACAGTATGTGAACATCTTAATTTAAAAAACAAAGCATATGGCAGATTAGATTCGCCCAATTCCAACATTTACCCATCTGTGCTGAAAAGGAAATGCCTGTTCTAAGCCCTGATACCTCAATGCTCTGTGAAGAGGCACCTTGCCAGGCATGAGCATGAGATGGCTGCCTTTCCTCACCTATTTCCTGCACTGCACTGAGGAGTGGTACCTCTGGCCTGAGGCCTTTCCCAAACCTGCTTTATCATTCAGCCTTAACACCTGAACAGGGTTATGTGTATTTACAAAAATCATGAGATGATAGCATGTGCCCACTGATACATAGCTGTGAGGATTTTCTTCAGCTAGTCGAGTTAAGATTTCCATTTTTACAGGCAGAGGTGTAGTATAGTGATAGAATATGTGCTAAGCAAATGCAAAGCTAGGTTCCTTCCTCGGCACCAAAGAAAAGATGGAAAACCAAAAAACAAATAAGCAAAAAGATTTCAATTTCCACTTTCAGCCAATGAAGTACTGACCTAAAAGGCAAGAAAACAGTCACCCCTAATTCAGAAAAGCAGAGGGGAGTAGCTTACTTTAAAGATGCTGCTATCCTGATGTATTCAGGAGCTTTCTGGTCAGCTTTCTCCATGCAAATCCGTAGTTTCTAAAAACAAAAGCAAAGAGGTGAGTGCTGCACTATTGAATATGTAGAAATTCTGATCTAGGGGCCTGGAGAGATGGCTCAGCAGTTAAGAGCACTGGCTGCTCTTGCAGAGGATCTGGGTTCTATTCCCAGCATGCACATGATGGCTAACAACCATCCCTAACCCATCATCTCCATTTCCACGGGATCTGATGCCCTCTGACCTCCATAGGCACTTATAAAAAAGAGACATCCTTCACACAAGGATGGAAGATGGCTACAGCTGCAGCTTAGCACTGGTTTTACTAATACCACTTGTGGAATCATCAGTATTAATATAGTTGTTATAGAAACAGCCATCATAACCTAAAGAAATATTGACCATTCGGTAGTCACTGAGAAAAAACATTGTTCTTTGGCTCAGAGTTTTCCATAAGCAGCATCCTCTGCCTAGACCTCCTGCTCTCCATATCCTCCACTTCCCTACCTGGCTCCCCTGGGGTAGTTCTAACCCAACAGGTCTCATCTGACCATCAGGAAGCTGACCCAGCCTCACTCCCAGAATTTTTTTTCCCCCTTTTGCTTCTTTTGTTTTTGAGTCAGGGCCTCACTATGTGACCCTAGCTAGCTTAGAACTCATTATGTTGGGGGCTGGAGAGATGGCTCAGCGGTTAAGAGCACTGACTGCTTTTGGAGAGGACCTGGGTTCGATTACCAGCACCCACATGGTAGCTACAAGCCATCCTTAACTCCAGTTCCAGGGGAATCCAAAGCCCTCTTCTGACCTCTGCAGCATTGCATCACATGGGTGTACTCACATACATGCAGGCAATACACTCATACACATAAAATAATAAAATAAAACATTTAAAAAAAAAAAAGAAAAACTCATTATGTAGACCAGACTGGCCTTGAACTCAAAGATCCACCTGCCTCTGACTCAACAGTGCTGAGATTACAGGAGTGCAGCACCAGGCCCAGCCCAGATATTCTTTGCACTTGTTATTTTCTCTTGCATACCAACTGATTTCAGCTGTGTGCTGGACATGGCACCCATAACAAGAGCTCTGTCACTGGGCTGCATCCCCATCCCTTACAGTACTGCCTCTCAAAGTGAGGCTCCATTTAGGGTTTTGGGGTTACTGACTCTCAGGTGATAGGCAATAAATGTACAAGCCAAAAAACTTGTAACAGCTCAAACTCATGAAGACCAAAACTCAAAAGTAGCTTTCCCAGAACCTTTGCAGTCCACTGTTTACTACACCTTCAGCCTCTGACTTCCCCACAGAACCTGACCACACCACAAGACAACTGCCCTCCTCCCACTTTGCCCCAGGCCTCCCTACTTTCAAGTGGGAAAGGAAAGGTGGGGAAAAAAACTTGTTACCACACACCCAGGATGACTTTATGACTCACCCAGGGCCTAGTTGGGAAATCAAACCATGGCCCTTGGGCAGGAATTAAAAGTGATTCAAGGGAACAACTTTCCAGAGCATTCTCTAGAATCTGCAGGCATGTGCACAGTGGACAGCTGAATCTGCCTGGGATGCGTCACCTCGTAGAGCTTCACGATGTCAGGTGTGTGCTCCTTCTCGTCGATCTGCTGCTCTCTCTTGAGCAGTGTGTCTTTGCAATGTGTGCAGCAGCGGATGCGGTCATCATCCTTCTCATCCAGGACTGAGCTGACACTGCTCATGCTGCTGATGCTGCCCCGGCGGGAGCCATGAACACTGTTGGGAGACTGGCTGGGGCTGGTGAAGGTGCTCAAGGAGTCCTTGCTGGCACTGGTGAGCTTATCTATAAACCAATAGAGGTAGCAATGACCCCTCAGCATCCTCTTATCCCACTACCTGTGACCGCAGCACTCAAGCTACAGGTGTTTAACTTGAGAAATAGTTAAGACCAGGCTTCACCTCAGGACAAGAAGGAAGAGGATCTGCTCCTCTGAGTTGTGGGGTCAGACTCTGGTGAGAAAGGAGTGCTGCTACTATGCAGATCAGATCCAAACACCCTGTGGTGGCCTGTCCTTAAAGCTCAGAAGCTCAGCCCTAACCCAGTCTTCCCACACTCACCTCAGTTTGCCCTATTTCTCCACACAAAGCACATTCCCCAGAGACTCTTCTATAGCCTTCCCACCAATTCCAAACATCTGGCAAATATGCTTTCCAAGCTCAGCTCAGTTGTATGTCTTCTACAAAGCCTTCCTTCAGTACCACAGTAGAAACTATCCTTCAACTGTTTCCCACATCACCCATTTTGGAACACATTCCACTTCTCTCCCTGTATAACAGTTGCATGTATACGAAGAGCTGTTCTGAGACTCTGTAACTGTCTAGCAGGAAAAACTGTGTTCTATACCTGAATCCCTAACACAGCCGTCAAGGCCACCATATAGCAGCTGCCTGATTAATAAGCCCAAGGGCAAAAAGGTGAAGAGTGTCCTGAAAATGAAGCTTATGAAGTCTCAGGGAGAAAGTAAAGTACCAAGGTAAAGTGGGCCTGGTGGATACAAGAACTAAATAGAGGAGTCACATTGCCCAATGTTGTCCAGAGGCCTCACAGCCAAGGGTGTTCACAGTTAGTATAACTCTCTGATGTTGTTAATCCATGCTGGAGATGGAACCCAGAGCCTTGAGCATGCTAGACAGGTGCTCTACCACTGAGCTGTACCCCAGCCCTCCTTCAGCAATATCTACCCACCCAGTTGACATACAAAGTCCTGGAGCATCTGCTTCACCTGCACTCTGTAGCCCTGTCCTACAGTTCTCACCCACACCCTGTATACTTTCCCTAGCAAGTCTCCCAGCTTTCCTACTCACCTTCCCAGGCACTGAGTGCCAGGATTCATTGCTGCTCTTTACTCTACCTGGAATGCCCTCCTTCCCCCATTTCCTTCACAATTCTATTCTCTTTCAAGGTGCTTCTCAAACATCACTTCTGATTCCCAAGAACCCATGCTCTCACTCTCACTGGAACCTCCACGGCACTTAATATGTCTCATATGACATTAGTCTTTCTGTATGACACTGAGGTATTTGTGGCTTTTATCACAAGATGGACAAGGTTACTGCTCATTTTTCAAGGTCCTCTTCACAAAGCCTTAAGAAAGAGCTGCACAGCCTATTTATTTATTTATTTATTTATTTATTTATTTATTTATTCATTCATTCATTTAACTTCAGGGCTTTATCTTGGAATGGGGGGGCATATTTTTTCAAGCTCTTTTTTTAAAAAAAATATTTTATTGATTTTTTTTTTTTTTTAATGTGTATGAGTGTATTCCCTGCATGTAAGTTCACCCATGTCCTGCAATGCCCAAAGAGGTCAGAAGAACGTATTGGATCCCCTGGAACTATAGTTGCAGACAGTTATTAACTGCCATGTGGGTGCTAGGAATCAAACCCAGGTCCTCTGCAAAAACAGTCCATGCTCTTAACTGCTGAGCCATCTCTCCAGCCCCTTCAATCTCTATTTTATGAAGAAATAATTTATTTGAGAGTCTGTCTCCTCTGCTAGATACTGAGCTCCTTGGGGAAACAGTCAATGCCTTTTAGACCAGAAGTGTTCCAACAATAACCTGTAAGCCAAGTCTAGCTTGTGGCCTGTTTTTATATAACTCTTAAGCTAAGTATGGCTGTTTTTGGTTTTTTTTTGCTTTTTGACATGAAATCTCACTCTGTAGCCCAGGCTGGCCTTGAACTTTAGCAGTTCTCCTGCCTCAGCTTTCCAAATGCTGACTATAGGCATGAACCACTATGTCTAGCTTAGTTTTATATTTGTTTTTTGCTTTGTTTTTGGAGACAAGGTCTCCTGGTAGCCCCAGCTGGCCTAGAATTTACTATGTATACCATGTTAACCTTGACATCAGCGATATCCACCTGCCTCTACTTCCCGAGTAAAGGTGTGTACCCTGACACTTAGCCCCTTCTTTTTGTTTTTTTATGGTTTTTTTAGTGTTTAGTTTTTTGGTTTACTTGAGACCCTGTCTCATTATGTACCCCAAGCTGTCTCAAATTTGTAATGATCCTCTGGTCTCTGCCTCCAAGTGTGCATCATGCCCGGCTAGTTTTTAAGAGATGATTACTTCTTTTTAGTAAGAAGAAATGGCACAGAGCCCACATGTGGCTTACAAAGCCTAAAATATTTATTGTTGGATTCTTTATATGAAAAGTTCATTAACTCCTGTTACAGACCACTGTAATCCTGGCTCCTAGCATGGTACCTAGGCTGTAGTGGGCCTCATGAACTCAAGTGGATGAATGAAGATTCTGTGGGCCATTAATTAAACCAAGTAGCCCCAAAAGCCTAGTGCTGATTAACAAATATGCTAGTCCTAGCAGAGAGCAGGGTCCAGGGCCTGCATCCACATCACCTACTTGCCAAGGGCAGGCTGATGAGCTCCATACACTTTTTGCACATGATAGACCCGCACAGGCGGCAATGGTGGCGGCGGTTACGAATGCTGAACTTATTCCCACAGTCTGGACAGAAAGGGACATCTTGGTCATTGACCCAGGGCACCACGGCCTTTTCTATTGCTTTGGGAAGAAAAAAAAAAAAAGAGTACAGCATTTTAAAATAAAGTTAGTCTGAGAAAAAGTAAAAGCAAGAATGAACATGATCAAAGTTATAGTTACCTCGGATTTTCACAGACTCGGTATTTGCTCTGTCAAATGCAGTGAGCTAATTAGGAAAAAGTAATGGCAAATGGAGTTAACAGTTGATGGACACTCTTAACACTGCTGCCACTCACACTCAGGCAAGAAAGTGCATACTTGCATTTCTCAAGATTCATCAGTCAACCTCAGTTACCCACACAATTTCACAAGGGACATGTTTAGTTTCATATCCAGAAGACACCTCCATACCTATGACTCACTTTCAATCTCTTGTCAGTTACCAGTTTCATCAATAACCAGGGGTGGGCAGAGTGGCATGGGGCTACTGAAAGCAATGGGGAGCTCCTGATTCACCTATCTTCCTGGAAAATAAAACTGGTCACATATAAAGAATTGTACCTGGGCTCAGAGTTTGGTGGTGGTATATATCCTGGCTTCCAACCCCAACATGGCACATACCTTTAATCGAACACCCAGAAGGCTGAGGCAGGCAGACCTGGGTGAGTTCAAGGTCACCCCAGTGTACATAGTTAGTTCCAGGCCCCCCAGGAGCATACAATGAGACCATGTCTCAAAAACCAACCCCAAAAACAAAAAAAAAAAAAAAAACAACTGTACCTATGGTTCGGACCACATGCCTCACACATATAATCCAAATGATACACAGTAAGCATATTTAGGGTCGAAGTAGAGGCTAGTCATGGTGATGCTTCAGGCATACTCTAGTACTGCAGGACAAGAAAGGCCAGCCAGATATTTTTACAATGCACACTGGTTCTGACTGAGTACTCCTCACAGAGCTGGGCACGGTTTTTGTTTGTCATCAAATTACATCACACACTATGCCCCAATGAGTGACTGTGCTTGGGACACTCTCAAAATGGAAAGGTTTTCCAGTAACCAAGTAGGCTTCACACGTAGAAAAAGGAAGCTGGGCATATGGTGAGTATCACTGAGCCATTCCCTTCAGGAAAATGAGCCCAAGCCACAACTGTCCTCCAGGTAACTCTTGCCAGCATCAAATATACATTATTTATATGACACATGCTACAGAAATTGAGGTTTTTCATAAAAAATTTGCACTTGCAGAAAGAAAGTTTTAAAAACTAAAAAATTTACCTTCTCTAACCTGATTATTAATTTATTGACTTCAACAACATAGTGGTCAATCCTTGCAGCACGATGTTTTTTGAAGTCAGAAAGATGGCTTCTCACAGTACCTAGAGGAAAGATGAAAAGATAAATGATTTATAATTATTCTGATGGAGCTCTCTAATCCTCAATAAACTGTAAAAGCAAATACAAAGTTCAGGATTTGGGGATCTTACTAAAATTTTTAAAACTAGAAAGCAAGTGGAAGGAAATTTACCACAATGTTAACCATGGCTCTTGGAGACACAAAGTACAATATGTAAGGCAGGCAGATCTGAGTTCAAGGCCAGCCTGGTTTACATAGTGAGTTCCAGAACAGCTGGAGCTACAGGGAGACCCTGTCTCAAAAACAAAAAACAAAAAAACACAAAAACAAAAACCCTGGACCTAGCCTGAGTTCAGGTGTCATTCTGTCACATACTATCTTACCTTAGACAAGTTCTTCTTTGTAAGAGAGGCCTCAACTATAAAATGAGGATAATGATAGTACTAACTACTTCACAATATTGCTTCTTATCAAAATAAAAATCTGATAGTTATTTCTCAAAATGGAAATAACTAACAGTAAGTGCTAATACACACCCTTTGTATTGCTAAACTGATACCTTTCACAGTCTAGCAGCCAAAACCCAGCAGAAATGTCAATACAAATGGAACCAAGTAGCACATGACCTCAGTGAGCATGAAACATTTACTGACTCTCATCTTTCCCAGAAAGCCAACACTAAACCAAAAAACCAAACAAACAAATTAAGGTGGGCACGGTAACACGAACCTTTAATCCCAGTGCTCAGGAGACAGAAGCAGGTGGATCTATGTAGCCTGGTCTACGTAAGATTAGGGTTGGGTTTATCAAACTGAAAGGAGAGAAGGGCTGAGGATTGTAGCTCTGTGGCCAAGTCTAGGTTCTATCCTCAGCACTGCTACTTTTAAAAAACAAGTAGATGGAGCCATAATACACACTTCAGAAAAGTAAGCTGCAAAAGTGCCTCTCACTTGGCTGGTAAAAGGAGACAATCTGTCAATAGGGTCTGAAGCTGGGCTGACATGAGGAAGACCCACAGTCACACTCTATTTCTACAGTTTACCACCTATCTGACCCTCAAGCACATTCTCATAGGAGACAGTGGGAAATCAATGAGGTCACATATACGAAGCATTTAACACAGTGCCTAACATAAAGTGGATCTCAACTCATTCCCTTCCATTTTCTCCCTATCAGGACATAAGGTTTGTGAGAAGGTTAACCTTTAGAGTTTATTAATATCTTCTTAATCAGCTCTGAAACTATCACCTAAAACAATGGAAGTGGGAGGGGGGCTTGTTAGGAAGAAGGAGTTCAGTAGAAGAGGGAAGGGGATGAAAGCGGATATTGGGGAGATATCACCAAAGTACATTTTATAGAAACATATATGAAATAGTGAAATACATAAATTTTTAAAATAAAAAAATTACCAAAAACATGGTAGATGCTCAATAAGTACTGAATGAATGAATGAATATTCTTACCAAGCTCTTGGGGCTCCCACATGTAAGGATCAACACCTCCATAGCTGAACGATTCATATCCTTGGCTCCCTGATTCTGCTCGATCATCCCCTTCTCGTTTCAACAACTTGTTCTTTGCTTTCTTAGCCTTTTGGACGAGATCTTGAAGAAATGGAACAAACACCAGAAATGAGCCCATGAAAAGCATGCAGTATAATATCAAGGGAAATCTCAAAAAAAAAGATGATAAAATAATTATCCTTGTTTAAAAATGCACAAGAAGCCAGGCATGGTGGCGCACACCTTTAATCCCAGCACTAGGGAGGCAGAGGCAGGCGGATCTCTGTGAGTTCGAGGCCAGCTTGGTCTCCGTTAGCGAAACCAGGCCAGCTGCGGCTACAGGGAGACCTTGTCTCAAAAAGACCAAAAAAAAAAAAAACACAAGAATATAGGATATTTGGATCCCAAAAGAAATGGCACAGTAAACAGAGAAGCACTTTATTACTGACTCCACAGAGCAGGAGACTGCTGCTTCATGGTTCTAACACACAGGCTAAGTTACTGCTACTGTCAAATTGAAGAGTCTAGCTGAAGAAAAGTGGCAAAATCAAACACAATTAGGAAACCAGGATGATAGAAGTATTTTTTTTCCTGTCTTAATTGGTATAGTGGTTATACACATTTATAAAATTTACTGAAATATAAACTAAAAAATGAGCCTGGAGAGATGGCTCAGCAGTTAAGAGCACTTGTGGCTCCTGCATAGGACCAGGATTTGGGTCCCAAAACTGCATGAACATGGGGTAATACATACAGGAAAATCATTGATGCACATAAAATAAATGAATAAATAAATAAACATATTTTTAATGCAAAAAGGGTTTTATTTGTATGCAATCATTTTGTTGTTGTTTTGTGTAACTGGGGGTGGAACCCTGGCTCTTGTGTACACTAGGCAAGCCACTGTACCATCGAGTTACTACTCCATGCCCTAAAGTTTGTTGTTTTGTTTTTTAAATAAAATTTATAGTATTGGGGAGCCAGGGAGGTGGCTCATCAGTTAAGAGCACTGAATGCTCTTGCAAAGGACTCGGGTTCAATTCCCAGCCCCCCACATGGCAGCTAACCGTCGTCTGTAACTCCAGTTCCAGGGGAATGCAATTCCCTGTTCTGACCTCCATGGGCACTGCATGACATAGGTATGTATATAGTACATATATGCAAGTACTAAATATACTCATACACGTAAAATAAAAATAATAATATATATTATATATATATATGGGGTTTGTTTTGTTTTGTTTTGTCTTTTTGAGACAGGGTCTCCCTGTAGCCCCAGCTGTCCTGGAACTCACTATGTAGACCAGGCTGGCCTTGAACTCACAGAGATCCTCCTGCCTCTGCCTCCCGAGTGCTGGGATTAAAGGTATGCACCACCACCCCCAGCCCTATTTTTTTAATTTATAGTATTAAGGACTCAGGAGTAAACAATCTTCATTTACCTCCAGAATGGGATGTGGCCAAACCAACATTCTCAGGCTAAGATATTGTTTAAGAACACAGCACTGTGTCTTTCCTGCTTCTGCCCTATTTACTGAATGTATGTGAGTCTACTCGAAAAAAGGCTTTAAGAAATGGAAATAGTTTGTGCCAGGAATGATGCAAAGTGCTTTTGAAAACATTATGTCAGTTCATGCTCACAATAACAACCCTCCTTACAAGAGGAAATGACATTAAATGGGAGGGCTTGCTTCACCTAAGATCGTAAAGCTTATAGACAGCAGAGCTGCAAGCAGATGCCTCCCTGCCTGAAGCCTAGCCAGAACTACAGTCACAAACTATGCCTCTCAAAATGACTATGCCTCTCAAAATGGGTGTCTGCCACCTGTGCTGAGGTGAGGGAACATCTGGCAAAATTGAACAAAGGTTAACTGGTAGGAAAAATAACAATAATTCTCAGTCGTATGTTCTTGTTCCCATTAATGATCTTGAATCATGAGTGGTTAGTATCCTTATCAGCCACTAGAATTTAATGAAAATATCAGGTTTAATACAAAATGGCATCATTACTTGACATTTAATAGATCAATACTTCATGTGGTTCTTATGGCTTTGAGGTATCCTATTTTGAACAATATTAAAAACACTCCCAGGGCTGGAGAGATGTCTCAACAGTTAAGAGCACTGGCTGCTCTCGCTGAGAACCCAGAAATTCCTAGCACCCACATGGTAGCTAACAACTGTCTGTAACTCCAGTTCCAGGGGATCCGACACCCTCTTCTAGCCTCCACAGGCATTGCACAACATGGGTGCACTTACATGCAGGTAAAACATTCATACACATAAAAATAAAAAAATAAAACATTCCCAGAAGTCCTTCTAAAGTCTAGGTAAATGCAAACATGGAAGAGGTAGCAGTCAGGGGAGTGAGAATGGTCTTCTTGAGACAGGGTCTCCTTGTAGCCCCAGCTGTCCTGGAACTCACTATGTAGAACAGGCTGGCCTTGAACCCACAGAGATCTGCCTGCCTCTGCCTCCCGAGTGCTGGGACAACAGTCATGAGCCACTGCACCTGGCTAGGTTGTTTCTTCTAACAAGAGGAGAGGAAACTGCCTGATACGGACAAAGGGTCCAGCAGACAGGAAATTAAGAGTTTGCAAACAACACTTCATTTTGCAGACAAGACTAATCTGTGCTGAATCAAAAAGGCAGTCTATGCCATTTAACCACTTTGGAAGACATAGAAGAACTGCCTGGCAACTTTCCCAGAGTGGGTGTAGCCCATCCAGAGGGTCCAGTTAGGAACCAATCCACACATCTTTGAAAACATAGCAGAAGTTACATATACTTTCAACCACCTTTTCTTCTGCCTACTGTAAAGGGCTGAACTAAAGCTGAACCAAAGCCAGGAATCAAACCCACACAGCACAACCACACCAAACCTGAGTTTGATCCCCAGGACCCTAATGGTGGACAGGGAGAACTTACTTCCATAGGTTGGTCCCATCACCTACATCGGGCTGCCTGTAACCCCAGCTCCTGACACCTCTGATCTCTAAAAGCACCTGCACTCACATGCACATACCCACACACAGATACACATGCATATACATAATCAAAAACTAAATAAATCTAAAAAAAGAAAAATTCATCCAAACAGGGAATGGCGGGACATACCTGCAATCTAAGAATTTGGAGATGGAGGCAAAAGAATCAGTACAAGGTCATGCTCCACTGCATTAGCAGCCGGCCTGGGATACAGGAAACCCTGTTTCAAAAAAGCTAAAACCTGGAATGCAAGATAGCTCAACAGGTAATGACTTGCCTGATGACCTTAGTTCAATCCTCAGGTCCCACATGGTGGAAGGAGAGAACTGGACTTCCACAAGTTATCCTCTGATCTCCACATATGTGCCATAGCATGCACATCCACACACATAAGCAAATACACAAAATATATAAATGTAATTTAAAATTTTAAACACCCCCACCCATACACAAAAAGGGAATTTTATCCTGACTAAAGAAATGACTATTAGTATTGCCCGGCATGGTGGTGCACGCCTTTAATCCCAGCACTCGGAGGCAGAAGCAGGCAGATCTCTGTGAGTTCAAGGCCAGCCTGGTCTACATAGTAAGTTCCAGGACAGCTGGGGCTACAGGGAGACCCTGTCTCAAAAAGACCCCCCCCAAAAAAAGAAATGACCATTAGTATTAAAAGAATGGTTAATTCAATTTTTAGTTCTTTTGTGGTAAAAATGGAAGGGATAAAAGCAAGAATATTCCTTTTTCCCTTCTGTGTACAGTGCTGGAGTTTCATGGAAGCTAGGTGTTCTACTACTGAGTCATACTCCCATCCCTGCAGGTAGACCATTCTCATGGGGAGGCAATCGCCAAGGATGACAATCCCTGAGGACCTTTACAAGTTTCTTTCAAAGAAACATTTTCATTTTATGTATATTCCCTAGGTTCACAATGTAACATTCTTTAAAGAATTTTAAACATTTTCCTCTTAAAAATGGGTTATTGTAAAGTTGGGCATGGTGACACATCTCTTTAATCCCAGCACTCAAGAGGCAGAGACAGGCAAATCTCTGTGACCAGTTGGGAAGTTCCAAACCAGCTAAGGGGTACAGGGAGACCCTGTCTCAAAAAACAAAACAAACAAAAAAAGGTGATTATAGGAGTCCAAGGACATTCTCTAACCTCTCTACAAACTGGCCTAAGCTTTGAGTAATAGGGTTCTGAGTAATATGGTTGGCTGAGGTCACCTAATACTAAGACAGGAAGCCCTTTGAAAACCAACCCTTCCGTTGTTCACAGGAAGCTTAGATAATCAAGCTTTGGCTTTTGTTCCTTTTTTCCCTCCTGGAAGCAATAAAGCATGCTGTGATCAAGAATAGAGAGTCTTTCCCCAACCGTGACGCCAGGGAGAAAAAGCTGCACTGGACTTCAAAGTGGCAGAAGATCCAAGTTCCAGGCCTACTTCTGCCAATGCTGTGTGACTCTGAATTTATTACTAGACATTTCTGAGACACAATTATTATGTATGACAACTCCCACCCTCCTACAGGGCTGTGGGGAGTCAAAATGAAATGAGAATGTACATGAAGGAAACTGCCAAAGTTACAAAGCACCATCCTTTTCGGTATTCTTCCTAACAGTTCCTGTTCTTTCTATTCCAGCCTCTATAGTAGCAAGAAGTCTCCTTAATAATCATGGTCTTGAGGATTTTTTAAAACATTTCACTTCATTATGTTTTTGAATGGAGTTCATGTTTTCAAATGAACTGAGAAGTGAGACGTGGAGTGTGGAGCTCCAGGGACAAATATTTGATCACAGGGTGCACGTGAGTCACATGTTTGGAGGCCAGAGTCCACTAGGAATAGAACTAGCAGTCAGCCCTTCTTTCCCACCCAGTACAGACTATGAATACAGCATTCAGATTCTGCAACTCTTGTGACCTCCAAAAATGCTGCCAGGTGAGAGAAGCAGGGTATCTCACTAGGGATGTAAGCTCCAGAGGAGCAGTAACTAATTTGAGGTTAGAACCTAAAGTCCAAGAAACAATAAACATTATGTACAGTCGAAATTACCTTTGAAAATTTCTCTCTACAGCTCTGTAGAACCTGAGCTCTTGAAAGCTCAAAAAACAAGACTTAACTTTTGGGCTTGTTTTTCTTTGTTTTCAACTATGACATTCCTTTTCCTGGGCTGCAGAGGACAAAGTCCGGCTAGGGAAGGAAGGATGGCAGTAAGATTTAAATCAGTGTCAGGCAAATGGGTACACTATGCCTCTACTTTCACAGCAAAGAAAAGGCATTCCTAGCCAAACCATCCCAGGCCGAGGATGATTTGAGTAATCTAGCAAGAGACAGCAGATCACAGTGATTATGTTTATTAGGTTCAAAACTAGACTTGACTTCACTTGGCATGACTTGAGGCAGGTGAATTAAATGAAATAAATACATAGGGAGACTCTCAACAATACAGGGCACACAGCAAGCACTAGATATCTGCTTGCTACTGTTATTATCAACATCATATCCCAGTGGCAACATGGAAGACTGTGAAACCATCCTATGTATTAAGTAAGGTCTATCTGACAGAATGGGGTAAGCAAGACCCTTGTCTCTTACTTTTAATTTGCCCTTTGACATCACGATCTTCTGAGTGTTCTTCCTCATAATGTGACTGAAGTTGATAGAAAGACTGCAAGTCCTTGAGGCACAGAGGGCAGAGGAAACCTTCCCTCACTTCCCCTGGGTCATCTAGAGAAGCCATAGCAGTGTCCTCTCAGTCCCAGGAAGGAAGCCTCATGCCAAGTCAGCTTGATTCCTTCCAAGGGAGGAGGATTCTGGCAGTGTTAGCTTAAGCAGGCAGCACACAAATGATGGGAAAGGAGCATCATGGCCCTGGATGAGATTTCTTCTCTGCAGCAGGAGGAACCTAAGAAAAACAAAAGCCAATTCAGGCAAATTAGCAGCTGCCAAACGTTTTCTTTGTTCTTCCATAGTTCAACAAAGGTACAGGTTTATAAAAACAAGGTTAATGTTTGTTCGGTGTTAAGTTTGTAAAAACAAGCTGCTGCTCAAAAAGTCAGACAAAGACAAAGCAACCCAACATGTGAGAACATCAAGGGACACCAGTAAATCAATGGAGCAGGAAGTAGGTTCCTAAAGATAGGCAAATAGGATCCCAGGGCACTTCTCTTAGGTTCATTTTAAATGGTCCAACCTCATCACTTAAAAACATTTTTTTCTCAGTACTGAGAAGTGATCCTAGGAAGCAGTGCATGCTGGGCTAGTGCTCTACCACTGAGCTCCACCTCAGTCCTTTTGTAGTTCTTATTGCGAGACAGGGGTCTCGATTGCCTGGGCTGGCCTTTATAGCCCAGGTAGGACTTGAACTTACCATCCTTTTGCCTCAGACTTCTGGGATTACAGGCCTATGCCACCAGCACAGTCAACTTCATCATTTCCATGCCATGGAACTCACTATGTAGACCAGGCTGGCCTTGAACTCAGAGATCTGCCTGCCTCTGCCTCCCTAGTGCTGGGATTAAAGGCATCCTCCATCACACCCAGCTTATACAGAGCTCTTGGTATTTCTAAGGCACATGTATTAAAAATACAAAGCTAGTCCAGGCTTGATAGCACAGACCCTTAATTCCAGCACTTGGGAAACAGAGGCAGTGGCCAGCAGATCTCTGTGAGTTCAAGGCCAACCTGGTTCCAGGCCAGCTGGGGCTACAAGGGAGATCCTGTCTCAAAGACCAGAAAGAAAAAGGAAAAAAAAAAAACCTAAGTGTGGCAGTTCATGCCTGTAATCTATGGAGGTAGAGGCAGGAAGATACTGAATTGGAGACCAGTTTGGGCTATATCATGAAATTCTGTTTCAAGAAACCAAACAAAGGTAGGCAAGTGGTAAAGTGTTTGCCACTAAGTTTGATCACCGGAACCCACATAAAAGTGGAAGGAGAGAACTGACTCCTTAAAGTTGTCCTCTGACCTCCATACTCACACCATAGCATGTGCACCTTCCTACACACATTACACACACATACACTAAAATGTTTTTTTTTTAAGAAACCAAAACAAAACCAAAAAGAAAAACTGTCACCAAAACAACAACAACAACAAAAAAAAAACACCTCGGGGCTAGAAAGGTGGCTCGGCAGTTAAGAGCACTGGCTGCTCTTGCAGAGGGCCCAGGGTTCGAGTCCCAGCGCCCACATGGAGGCTAACAATTGTCAGTAACTCCAGTTCCAGAGAATCCGACGTCCTCGTCCTCTTCTGACCTTCTCCGGCACTGCACAACACGAGTGGACTTACACACATGCAGGCAATACACTCATACACATAAAATAAAAATAATAAAATATGTTTTAAAAAAGAAATGCGGTGACAACACATGCAGACCCAGCCCTTTTACTGGGGCATCACTGAAGCGGCAGCTCCTACCTGGTCCGACCTGTTCCCTCCCCAGCCAATGATAATCAGGATGCTCGGAGGCCGATGGTCTCCTCCTTCCCCACACGCATCCCTAAACAAGGCAAACCCAAGACCCCGTCCACCCCTGCCACACGTCGCCTTTTACATGGCAGCCCAAACTTCACACCTGGAGAAAATGCTACAAGGCAGCGGCCGCGGGATGGCCTTCTCAGCACACATGTGCATCACATGCACACATACGAAGTGACTAAATAATACAAGAGGGCAGCCTGGGAGGGGAGACTGATTTTCGCCATCACCAGAGCCCACGGGTCCAACGCGGTGACACTCGCAAGCAGAGGCAAAGCTCGGTGAATGCAGCGGGCGACTCAACCCGGCGTCACTAAATATGCGCCACACAGAAAGCTACCGCGAACCACCAAAACGAATGCCGCCACTACAGGCGAAGCTGTACAAAACCGCCATCCCAACGCGGGAGGAACCAGGTCTGGCCACCCACCCCGCTCGCCGCAGCCTCCCCGGCCCCGCGGAGATCATCGCCGCCACGCGCGCCCACAGGAGTGCTACCTCGCGGACGCCGCGCGGAAGGCCTCCCTCCCGCAGAGACATGTTTGCACAGCCGCCGCGAGGCCGCCCACCGAGCCTCCCGGGGGGCCTTACGCGTCACACCCACCTCAGCCACCGCCGCCCGCACTCTCGGCCTCCAGCCGGCTGACACTCTTCCTTGAGACCCACGGTCAGGACAGCCGGCCGTACTGTCGCAGACCAGCAGTCCAGGCTCGTCCTGCGGCCCTGACTGGGGCCTCCGCGTTCCCTCAGGGAACAGCAGCCGCCATCCCCATCAGAGTCTCGGCACTCGGCAGCAGCGCCTGGAGGAAACCGGAAGGCAGGCTGACAGGCAGCGCGAGCGCCGAGTCCTCGAGTGCGTGGAGGACGGGGATATGTTGAAGTTGAGCAGTTCCGAGGTTTCTGCGCACGCACTGTCACAAGGGTGTCCGGTGGAAAGAGGTGGAGCCTGGTTTCTGCAGTGAGCTTGCCGGGGAGGAGAGGGGGATGTTACACACCAGAGAGGCTGTGTAGCCTGGCGCTTGCCCTTCACCCGTTCCGAGATGGAGGTTCGGGGGCAGGAGATACTGAGACTAGTAGATTTAGGAGGGCAGAAAAGGAAGGCGTTTAAAGTTAAATAAGAACCAGAACCAGACCTGCAACAGGAATATGACTTGTTTTATTGGGCGAAGCCACAGTGAGGAGTAGACGCTGTCAGGGAATCTAACATCTACAATTTAAGAAACCTTGAGGTTCTTATAAGAAAGCTCTTAGACACAGCTGCAGCTTTCAGGAGTTAACTCACTGCCAGGGTCTGGTGTCCTTGGAGTGACTGAGGGTCTTCTTCCTAAGATTATTTTCTCAGGCATGGCAGGTGGGTTATCTATAGCACTAAAGGAGAGAGGTGGGCTCCATAAACGGTCTCTCTCAGTCCAGGGAGTAACCAGTTGATAAGGCTTGAGCAAGGCCAGCCTGCCAATTTAGAGCCAGTTAGCTGCTCTAAGAAATTTGTTTTTATGACCTCCTCTAATGAAGCTTATGTCTCTTCTGAAATTTACACTATCAAGTGGTGTAGTGCTTTGGCACTTCACTGATGGTCTTAAAAAGTGAGGCAGCCGCGGAATCGTTAAGGCTTCCCATTCATCCTCACCTGCCGTGCTCGCAGAAAGTTCCTGAGTGAGGGACTGAAGGTCTGATCAGCAGACAAGAGGTTGAAAGACCTGGATCGGATAGGTTAGAGCCACAAGAGGGTGGAGGCTTGAGAAGGCGTCTCAGGGGACTGACGATGTGGCTCAGTTTGAGCGCTCTAGCACTTGCCAAGGATGTACAAAGCCTAGGATTCCATCACCAGCATCACATAAACAAGGGGTGGTAGCCAACCCCAATAACCCCAACTCTCTGGAGATGGAGGCAGGAGGATCAGACGTTTAAGGTCATTTTTGGCTACATAGCAAATTCAAGACCAGCCTGGGATGCATAAGACCCTGTCTCAAAAGCAAAAAAAAAAAAAAAACGTGGATGGGGGAGAGTTCCACTGGGGGTGGCCAAATCTCTGTAAAATATATGGTACTTACCAAGGACAGATGATGGACAAGTTACCCATTGAACCACAGGGTATGGAAGCAGACTCATCTATCCCCCCCCCCCAGCCCATTTGCTTTGTGTCCTTCACCCCTTCTGAGCGTCTGAAGCAAAAACCAAAAAGAATGACAGGAAGATCCTGGGATTTGGGGACAGAAGGTGGCCTCCATCCTTCCCACCTCCACATCCAAGGTATCCTAGCTGTGATACTTGACCCATTTAACTCCTGGTATCATATGTGTAAAATGAAACCCATGATCACAGTCTCCACTTCATTGTGCAGATGACATGACCCAGATGACATGACCCTTCCCCAGCAGGTCTCTAGTCTGCTGATCCCTGTGCCTCCTCATGCTAACACTTCATGTAGGGTATGGAGACAGCACAGAGTTTGGGGTAGGCAATTGCTGGGAAAAAGACAAGAGTTAGGGGGTCCACAGACCTGAGTTGTGGCCCCAACTGTGCCTACTTTGTGTGTGTGTGTGTGTGTTTTGAGAGCAGGTCTCCCTGTAGCCCCAGCTGGCCTGGAACTTGCTATGTGGAACAGACTGGCCTCAATCTCAGAGCTCTGCCTGCCTCTGCCTCCCAAGAGCCAGGATTAAAGGTAGGGGCTACCACACTTTATTTTGAAGAGTTGTGTCTGTGTCTGTCTGTGTGTGTGTGTGTGTGTGTGTGTGTGTGTGAATGCAGTGCCTAGAGAGGCCAGAAGAGGGTGTTGGGTCCCTAGAGCTGGAGTTATAGGTGGTTGCGAGCTGCCCAGTGTGGCTGCTGGGAACTATAGTACTCTGCAAGAACAGGATGAGCTGTTAACCACTTAGCCATCTCTCCAGCCCCACTGTCTCCATTTTAATAATAATGACTAATATTTAATGAGTGATTTGCACATGCCAACTGTTTGATATGCTATACATATCTCAACTCATTTAATATCATGCCATCCTATGAGGTACTAACTGATATCTTTCCCATTTAATAAAGAAGCTGCAGCACAGAGAGGTTAGGTGATTCCCCCAAGACCACACAACTGGGAGAGGCCTCCCTCTGGCAAGGGGAGGGAGAGGGAGATGCTTATGAGCCAATTCATTCAAAGACAAATGTTCAAATGATCTGGCATGGAAAGAGAAATGGTGGAATGACCCCTTATAAGGTTTCCCAGATCAGTAATGCATGAGCATGGCACTCAGGTAGAGGTAACCCTGAAGGGTTTCCCATGCCAGAGAAACAGCACATGCAAGGGCATGGTATGGGGAAGAGTGGGAGCATAGAGAAACCTAGACATGAAAAGGAAGAACCACATTGCTCCCAGGGGGCCACTTCCAGTGAAAGAATCTCGGGCAGCTGGTCTGGGTGCCTTTACCTTTCACTTCAGGATTCTGGCTCTCTTTCTCTTGGCCTTTTATTTGTCAAAGTTCAACACAAGCAACAAAAGACATCTTGGTAGATTGAAATCTGAGCTGAAGAGGAAATGGGGATGTGGGTAAACTTACATCAGAGGAAACTGGGCACATCATGTGACTTCCCGTGGGGCCAGCTGTACCCTAGCACCAGGCCCAAACCTCTGCCTAATGCTGAGATCCTGAGGGTTGAGGTTGACACACCCTGCAGTTGGCTTGTGGAAGCATGAATGATGATGGAGGACTCTGACCTTGGCCTGCAGGATCCACAGAAAGGGTGATGGACTGTGCTGTGTTCAGGCAAAGTAGGTGGCCACTGCACAGAGTGGCTCAGGAAATAAGCAAAGACAAGAAGAGAAAGAGGAAAACATGTCACCAGTCAGCTGATGGGATTCCTTACCCAGAAGGAAACCTGAGCAGGCAAGGATTAGCTCTCCAATGCTGGCAGTCCTGGGCCTTGAGTACTGGAGGCCTGGTGATAGACTGGCAGAGCCAGAGGCTGCAGCCCAAACCTAAAGAGCCAGGGCCCTGATGCTCCATGCTGTAGAAGCCAAAGACTTAGGTGCTCAGGCTGGAGGCTCATTGCCCTGGGTTTTAACCCTCAGCTTCTGGGTACTTAGCAGCTATTATAACCCTTGGCTTCTGGAGATAGTGAGCAGGAGCAGCACACAGTGGCTGCCAGTGTCACAGCTCCTGAATGTGTCTAAGGCTGGGACCGTCTCAGCTCCTGTAGCAACAACCAGTGTTACAGCTCAGGCCCAGGGCATTGGGATCTTCAAGCCCTCAGTAGTGGCCAGTGATACAGCTCTGGGCCTAGGGTGTCAGGACTCTTGACCCTCAGTAGCAGCAAGTGTTACATTTCTTAGCCCAGGGGATTAGGGCCTTTAAGCCCTTGGCAATAAGAAGCCTTACAGGTCAGGAGCCCTGGATACCAGAGATTGTGGCCTTTATTTACACTTGCAGCAGGCTGCACCTTCTTTCCTGACTCTTTGCAGTTATTTCTTCAACATCTGCTCTCTGGCCTCTTGTCATCTCTATTCTGTCCTCATGGTCTCTGCATTTTCTGGAACTCTTCAGCTACAGCTGCTGCTGCTGCCACTAAAAATTAGGTACCACTCTGAAGTCTTCCAGCAGACCTACCATAGCAATATTGCAGAAATTAACCCTGATTTCAACAAAACCCAACAGTAGCTAGATTCCTTGACCCCACTGGTGAGTATGAAGGGTAGAAAACAGGAAATTGACCTGGGAGATGTGAGCTACAAGGCCATTCAATTTGAAGCTTGTCACCCACTTTGGGAAGATAGCCACTGACTGCTAATAGGAGTCTTTGATTAAGTGGTAAAAGATAGCATAAGCAAGAACTCAAGCCTTGCACCAGGGGCTTAGAAAGTAGCTCAGGGGTGCAGTGCTTACCTGGCATGCTGGAAGTCCCAGGTTCCATTCCCAGCACCCAAACAGTACAACCATGCACTTGGCCCTAAGGTGTTCAGAATGGACCTGAGCTTCCATAGGCCTGCTCAACTGGGCCACAGATACTACAGGATGGTTTCAGTACAGGGAGGTGAGGACACAGGCTCAGCAGGGTCCTTGAGTGGTAAGAGAAAAAAACATAGCTTCCCATGTCAATCCCCTGACCTCAGTCTTCAGACATATGAACCCTCAGCCAGCTGAGAAATGTCAACAAAAAAACTCTTGCCTCAAAGAGGTAAGAGAGTCTGAAGCCAAATGTAAGTGACCTTGGCCTGGAAATGCAGATTTAGTGTGGGGGTCCGCCCCAAGGTCCCGCCCTGGAGGGACCTGCTGCAATGGGGGCCAGGGAAAGGTGAGCGTGCTGTCCACCCGTTCTGCCAGCCCTCCTCGCCGAGGACAATCAGATGCGACAGGGAGTCTAGTCAAGCAGGAACTCGTTTATTGCAGGTGTCACAGAGCTTATAGAGGCAAAAAACGCAGTCTGGAAATCCCCTCGGAAACCCCCTCCCCCGAACGTACCCAATCAGCTTAAAGGTCAACCTGCCACATGGCCAGGGTCCCATAGGCATCAACAATAATCACACGCTGATCACACATCCCCAGGGACGGGGAAGCGGCCTTTAGCCAATTGGGAGGTTTTCAAAACACGCCAAGCCTCACCCTGCTTGCTTCCTCTCAGCACCATCTTTGCAGGGTCGCTCGCAGGCTCCCACATCTCCCCCTTTTTATTTTTATCTTATAAGGCCGGACTGACTTTATTTTATGGGTTACCCCTCTCATAGACTACTCCCTGAGGAGAGATGGCTATCTCCTTCCTCTAATCTTGTGCATTTTGCCTGTCTTAGGTTGTGTCACCCCTGACCAAGCCTTGCCCATCATTAAACCATGCACCTGGCCATGTGCACGTCCTGTCTTAGGAGTGCTTGTCATAGGACATCTTGCCCATCCTTGGCTAAAAATGTG